GTTAATGCATTCCCTGTTACGCTTTTCACATGCCTTAGGTATTTGTACTCATTAACAGAAAATATCAGCTTTCTCATCTTCAAAGATGACCCATAGACACTGATGAATAGCACTTCCTTGATATATCTGATATTGTATAATCATTCTTTGGTTGTTTTCATGCTTTCTGGGAATAAAAACATCTCACAATGGCTGAGATCCAGTAAATATATTGGTGATAGAAAAGCTTTAAATACTTTCTCTTCAAAATCTTATTTATTTCTCCAAGCTTATTTGCAGATGCGTTGTCAGTCAACGGAAAATTACTTTAGGGGCCAGTATTTGGACTTCCTTTCCAGGAAATCTGTTCAATTTTCCTTAGAGCAATTTGAACATAAAAAGTTGCTAGTCCTTCAATTTGGATATGTATACACGCTTTACTTGACTTCTTGAAATACATGAAAACTAATTTGACTTGGTTGGACCCCTTGCTTCTCTTTACCATAAAAGGGCATTTTTTTTCTCTTTTTTTCATTTTTTTAGTATTGATCTTTATTGATCTTATTTATTGGCAATGAAAATGCACCTATGTTTCAACTTTGAAAAAAATAAAATAAAATACTTCTGTATATTTATTTTGATATACAAATTATTGCATTATTTCTTGAATGACTCTCGTAGACAATACGTCGTCAATTGATTTGGAATTCAAATGTCGAGTTGAAGGTTACAACAAGTGTTTTCTTCTTTTCACGTTTATGATTCTGAACCAGCTTTACTTCATACGAATAAAAAATAGGTCTGCTTATAACGGGGCGCAATTGGTACCCATGGTATTTTCCCATAGATTGTTGAAAGACCTGGTCTCCAAAAGCCATATAGATATTGTCAATCAGAAACTCAAGCATCTTGAAATATCAACTTCAGAGTACTTGTTTGTTCAATCAGAATGTTTTTAACAAAGTAATATTGCAAACTTCCATCGATGAGGTCAATAGATTTAAGAGTTCTTTTATTAAACCAGAAGTCTCTGTCGAGACTGAAGCTCTACTGGTTTGTACTTATAACAAACGAAGAGAAAAGTAGTATTTGGGACTTAAAACTTTACAACAGCAATAAATAGAATAATGATGCTTGATTGAGCTCTTTTTGTGGCAAGATACTGCAATAAGACAACAGCAGTAGGTGTAGCTATTAATAAACTTTTAGAGTATTTTCAATTTTAGTAACCATGGCAACATCCTTCCTCGATATCAAAAATCAATACACAGAATTGTGTATCTTAGTGTAGTTTACTCGTGTGCCATGTTGTATTGAAATCAGACCAAAACTGTGGGAGGTGTAGCATTTTGAATGCATTTCAGAGATATTTCTATTTTTAGTAACCACGGCAACACCGTTCATCGAAATCAAAAATCGATGCACAGAATTATGTATCTTAGTGTAGTCTACTTGTGTGCTAAGTTATATTAAAATCAGACCAAAACTGTAGGAGGAGTAGCATTTTGAAAGTATTTCACAGAAATTTCTATTTTTAGTAACCACGGCAAAATAGTTCATTGAAATCAAAAATCGATGTACAGAATTATGTATCTTAATGTAGTCTACTTGTGTGCAAAGTTATATTTAAATCAGACCAAATCTGTAGGAGGTGTAGCATTTTGAAAGTATTTCACAGAAATTTCTAATTTTAGTAACCAAGGCAACACCGTTCATCGAAATCAAAAATCGATATACAGAATTATGTATCTTAGTGTAGTCTACTTGTGTGCTCAGTTATATTAAAATCAGACCAAAACTGTAGGAGAAGTAGCATTTTGAAAGAATTTCACAGAAATTTCTATTTTTAGCAACAACGGCAACATCGTTCATCAAAATCCAAAATCGATACACAGAATTATGTATCTACTTGTATGTAGTCTACTTGTGTTCTAAGTTATATTGAAATCAGACCAAAAATGTAGAAGGAATAGTATTTTGAAAGAATTTCACAGAAATTTCTATTTTTAGTAACCACGGCAACACCGTTGATCAAAATCAAAAACCGATTACAGAATTATATGTCTTAGTGTAGTCTACTTGTTTGCTAAGTTATACTGAAAACAATCCAAATCTGTAGGAGGAGTAGCATTTTTAAAGTATTTCACAGAAATTTCTATTTTTAGTAACCACGGCAACACCGTTCATCAAAATCAAAAATCGATACACAGAATTATGTATCTTAGTGTAGTCTACTTGTGTGCCAAGTTATTTTGAAATCAGACCAAAACTGTATGAGGAGTAGCATTTTGAAAAATTGTTTACAGACAGACAGACGGACGGACGCCGGACGCATTACTATCGCATAAGCTCTTCTGGTCTCTGACCAGTAGAGCTAAAAAGTAGCTGTCAATGTAAAAAAAAAATCCTGGACTGATGGGGCGTAGTTGTATATATAAATTTTAAAGTCGTAAGTTTTTATGTCGTTGGTTTTAGTAAAAAATTTGTGTTTCAATTTTTACAACAGCGAGGGATCTTGATCATGCCAACGCATGTCGTGACACAGGACATTTCTCATCCGAAATACTCGCAACTTCAAGTCTGAAGTGCAAAGAGCTTGGCGAATGAATAGTTCTATTCATTTTTTCTAACTTATGTCATTGGTGCCCGGGGTTCGAACCCACAACCTTCCGATCACAGTGCGAGCGCTCTACCAACTAAGCTACCGTGGCAGCGGCTCTTATTAATTAGTACATGACATGTCCATGTACTAGAGGCAGGACATATATCAGAACTCTGAATGATTTGATTTGTGAAATATAATTCTTAGTATTTTGTTATATTGGAAAACCTTGAGACTTGTTCAAGGTTTGTGCACTTTTTATGGACCACAGGGGGGGGGGGGACGTGATCTGAACAAGGGATTTACAGATAGATACTGTAGATCACTATATTTTCGCGACACCTTATTTTCGCGAGATAGTCGTTGACTCTTGATTAGCGAGACAAAATTTTCACGAATTGTGGTTATTGCTCTATATAATCTTAAGGAATACTATTATACGCGAGAATTAAATTTTCGCGAGCACACAGTCTCGCGTAATTACGCGAAAATAAAGTTCTCGCGAACAAAAAGTGATTTACAGTATAATAATTTTTTGACTTTTTGACTTTGACCATTGCCTGACATCTGTAATGGAGAATTATATATTTTCAACAAAAATAATATCTTAATACTATTATTTCGTTTACAATATACATGTATATAAAAAATACATAACTAATAGGATCAATATTACGTTTGAATCAGAGCAAACAACTAAACTTATTATTTCAAATTTGAAAATGTATTTTTTTTTTTACATATACCCCTGTTTGCTTCCAAACATAGTCAGCCATTTTAAAAAGTTAAACTCCATACCTGGAAAGTCCAATACACATTAGCCCTTTCACGATATATTAATATAGGGTCCTGATATTATACAGATTTGAAAATATTAACTTCAAATCTGTGTCCATAACCTTTAAGCAAAGTACAAACATAATGATTGTTTGTTACATAAACTTAAGAGAAAGTTGAAGTCATCTTCTCTGTAATACAATTTAGCAGTTTATTGACCTCTATCACAAGTCAGTAAAACATCCACATGTGAAACAGATGAGACAGACTATGGGTATCTTTTATTATTTCAAGATCACAGGGATAGTTATATCGGATTGACATTCGACTGAAAAATAAAAATAACTATATTAATATAAATTGATAAAACATCTTCGATATATCTGAATGTCGAATCTAAGGCCAAAACTAATGTTTTCATCATCTCATGTAGAAATTTTTGAAAAATAAATTCTGCTTCATAGGGATATAAAAACAGGTAAGCTGACAAACAAGCACAACTAGTGCACATAGGACAATTTTTTTTTTTTTGGAAAACTTAGCTTGGTCTCCAAAGACTTCAAAAATGCTGTCAATGATGCACTCCAGCATCTTTCAACTTCAGAGTATTTTTATTGAAGTAGTTTTGCTGATGAGCAATCACAAGTTATGTGAACATTTCCAAGTTTCTTTTTTATAATTTTAGAAGCAGTTGTGTGTGATATCAAAAATCTACAGTTTAATTTATCCTAATTGTTGAAAAATGTGTAGAAAAGTCTAAAGTTCAGGTGTTATAGATTTTTTTAAATGGTAATTTTAAGTTTCTAAAGGCACTTTAGAAATTCTAAAAATACACACATTTGATTTACTCCCTTCTAGAATAAGTTGTAGCACAATACCTTTGAAGGTTCTCCTTTACAGCAGTAAATATTTTTGTAAGGAGTAAATATAAGGGCTTAATTGGTAGAGTATTTGCCGGATCCAGCAATGTATCCTTGCTTGTAATGATTTTCATGAAAGTTGAAAATCCAGGACAGGTAGGGTAAATCAGGTAGATCAAACTCTCCTTGGTTGACAAGTATATAAAATGTTTTAAAAACTGAGATGTGATTTCGAAGAATTTCTTCCTTGGAAAGTGAACTGTGAATTTATGTTGGATTTCTAGTCGTATATTATAGTTAGAATTAAAACCAAGTTCTTCTTAAATACATAGTAAGCCTTACTAACAAAGTGCTGGGTCCAAAATACATGTTTATTGTTCGTGTAGTCTTTTAAACTCTTCAGTCACTTCCGGTTTGGTGATGATGAAAAGGTCCATGAAACATATACGGTTGGCATATATGATAAATACTAATTTATCCTTGACGTTCAATCTTTTAACCCAAGTTCAACGTATTTTTGAAGCTGGTACTTTAATTTGGCAGTGATTACGTTTGTCTTTCTGATTATGGAATGATACCCAACAAGAGAATATTAACAATTCGAAGATACGGCGCGAACAACAGTACTAGATTGTCTTTCATCTTTTTAAATCAACAAATAACAAACATAATTATTTTTTTTTAAAATCCTTTAATGGTTTTAGAAAACTTTGGTTCTAATTTTTTTTTCTAGTTTGAAAAAGAAGCAGTAAGTCTGTTCACAAATCAGTTTAATTAACAAACAAATAATCTTATTGCAGCCTTATAGTACTGTCAGTGTGTATTGTAAATATATGTCCATAGAATATGTCATGAAAACTTTTCTCGAATTGACATCAGTCATGCACTTAACAATTAAACTGGCCATATAGCAATCGCTCCGAAATGTCCGTTCACTTTTCATTACAAGCACTCAGTCTTATAAACTTATTGCACTAACTAATAAAAGTTAAATCAAAAACCTTTTTATCATTAAATTAAATGTAAGAGACAAGAAAATTGAGATTGTTTTCCAGTGACAGGTTAATGCTGGAGCCCCACATGTTGTGGCGTAAGAGCTGCAAAAGAAAGGCAACTTTTATTCACATGCTCATAATAGAGAACTTGAAATTTTGTTATCAAACTTATATGTCTAAACTTACTTAGGGGGTACAAGTTTTAGAAGTCTGTCGTCAGTTGATTTTCCGTGAAACGATTTTGTTGACAGTAAATACACTTCTCCTGTAATGTTTAATGATTTACCATGTAGTCTTGAACATTTATCAAATGTAAGACACTATAATAATGTTCTTATTCTTTCATTGCTTTATTAATACAAGACAAGCCTGAAGGTAGAAAGAAACTAGAGGTACTGTGAGCGATGAGCTCACTAAATGATACCCCCCGCCTCCCATATGGTTATAGCTGGTGAAAAAGTCCATGTTTTCCTGTGGCCGGGAAACTCAAAATATGTGTCGGATCAAAAAGTAAAATAGGAGGTGCACAATGGCAATATGTAACTAGTTCTAATTGTAACGGGGACCGTTACAGATGTTCCCCAAACGCTCCCCAACTCCCTTTTTGTGCAAATTTCCTTTAAAACTTTTTTTCAATATGCTTAGTATCGCAGGATTTCATAAAAGAATTTTAAAAGCTACAATGATATCAACTTTTTGTCATTTAACGCATTGTTCGCAAACGCACGTGCATGCACATGCAAGGTGATCATGATATGTTGTCTAAACCATTAACATATCTTTATTCCAGAAATCAATAAAAAGTCATAAAAATATAAATTTTACCGTTTTTCAAACATATTGTTCATTTTACGCATTGCGTGTGCGCATGTGCATGCAAGCACGTCCTTGCATTCAATTTTGATAGCAATATCATGTAGGAATCCATAATACCTATTCATATTCTAAACTTCATCCTGTTTTGTTGAGAAACAAGAAAGATATAGGCATGTAAAGTTCCAGCCAATCAGATTGCAGCACACGTGGATTTATGTGCTTTCATGATAATTCTTATATATCATGTTGCACGTGCGCTCTTGCCAGCACACGCGCATGTACGTGCTTTCATGAATATATTATATATCATGCTGTAGATCTTCGTATTGTGTGACTAAGTTCAAAATTTCAAAGGATTATGACGAAAATCAAGAAAGATATTGAGACTTTAGTTTCAGCCAATCAGAGCGAAGCGCACGTGCATGCGCGTGAGATCTTGCTATTTTGACCATGTCAACACGTCTATACTACTAATATACACTTATATTATGAGTATCAAAGCATATAATCAAAAAATAGAAAAGTTACGGCTGTATCTATTATTTTGGTCATTTCACGCGTTGCACGTGCGTGCTCTTGCAAGCACGTGCGCGCAAAATGACCTTCGTTCCGCAAATCTACATAACATGCCTTCTGACCCTAAAAAGGTTTCACCTAAGTCGGACATGTAGTTTACAAGATCATTCGTGGAAAAGATTTTCCCAGGAAGAAGAAAAATAATAATAATAATAATAAGAAACAGAGTAAAAACAATATGTTCCCCAACTTCGTTTGGGGAACATAATAAAGATTCTGTGAAAGTTTCATCAAATTTCATTCAGTGGTATTAGAGGAGTTGCGGATAAGAGATGGGTACCCCAAAGCGTAACAGACGGACGGACAGACGGACGGACGGACGGACGTACAGACGGACGGACGGAATTAACGATTACTATATACCCTCCCGCTTTTCAAGCGGGGGGTATAATAAGTATAAATACGCATAGTACTGTGTCTTACGTTCTGGAAAGTTTGTTCCTAGTGCATTTCACCTACATAATTAAATCAGTAACTCGTAACTATTTTTTCTACGAAACTTTTCTCTCCTAGCGGAAAATTCGTTTGAATATATTAACAAACCTTTATTATCCTGAGAAAATGAGACCAGATAGTCCTGACCCAGGGTTTCCCTGGCGTGACAGGGACAGAAGGACGGGTCACAGTAATACAGGTGGCTCTCCTCCCAGTCAGCCCCGCCCATCTTCTCTAATGTATACAGGAATGAGCTGATCAACAGATAAAAACAATTAAAGGATTTTATATCAATTAGGCAAAAAAATGTATATAAATGTATAATTTTTTAATACAGTGATAAAGAACTACATGCCTGTCGTCAACCATATGAAAACGAGAGGCTAATGGGCAACACCGCTAACCTGAGCACTTTGGCTAGTTTAGTATTTTATGAGTGGTATCAACCTGCCCCAAGGGGGAGGAGGCATGATTTGAACAAACTTGAATATACACTAACAGAGTGTGTTACCACATTTCTTTTACAAATCATGGCTTTAAAAGGTTTGAAAGATTTTCCCCTATAATCTTTATCTTCTATTATGACCCCCATCCTACCCCTTGGGGTCAAGATTTGAACGAACTTGAATCTACACAACCTAAGGGGGCTTCCATATAGATTTACCAATCATGGCTCTGCTGTTGACTTGATTAGAAGATTTAAAAAAAAAAAAAGAAGATTATTCATATATATTCCTATAGAAAAGTTGTTGGTTTGTTGTGACCCCATCCCATCCCCAGGGGTCGTGATTTGAATAACCTTAAATCCACACAACTTGTGGATGTTTCAACGTGAATTTCATTTTTCCTGGCCCAATGGGTTTGGAGAAAATGTTCCTCCATTGTGACCCCACCGTACACCTGGGGTCCTGTTTTGAAAAAACTTCAATCTACACTACTTGAGAATGCTTCCACTTAAATATGACCAATCAAGGCATTTTTGTTCTTGAGGAGGAGATTTTTGAATATTTTGCCCGTAAAACCTTGATCGTCCCTTTTTGGTCTGCCCTACCCCTCGGGAGTCATTCTTACTTTGCAAAAATATCAGCAAAAATATATCTGCCAGTAAGATTCTTAATGGAATTTCCTCTGTACACGTATCCTCCGATCACAGCAGCGGGTCCCTGTGGGTGATCATACACGTAGACTGGTCGACCCTCAGGCCCTTTTGTAAAACGTACTTTCATTACGGGATACTAGTAGATTTCATATAACTACAGACCTGGACTCCGTTTAATAAAAAACTTAAGACCAAAATTTAGTTTTGCTTATAACTTTCTCATTAACAATGAAAATATATTATATTTATTCTTTCACAGCAATGTTTCGAGTATGATTTAGCAGACATCGAATTAAAATTACCTGTAAATTACCTGTTACATTACAGAAATCTAAAACACATTTATCTCCCTCCTTGATATTCCATCCATAGTTATGGCCCTTCTGGATAAAATCGATTTCCTCCTGCTCGCCCTCTCCTAAGTCACCACAATAAATATCACCTTCAGAACTTCCTACAGTTAAATAAAACATCACAATAAATATCACCTCCAAAACTTCCTACAGTTAAATAAAACATCACAATAAATATCACCCTCAGAACTTCCTACAGTTAAATAAAACAACACAATAAATATCACCTTCAAAACTTCCTACAGTTAAATAAAACATCACAATAAATATCACCCTCAGAACTTCCTACAGTTAAATAAAACATCACAATAAATATCACCTTCAGAACTTCCTACAGTAAAATAAAACATCACAATAAATATCACCCTCAGAACTTCCTACAGTTAAATAAAACAACACAACAAATGTCACCTTCAAAACTTCCTACAGTTAAATAGAACAACACAATAAATATCACCTTCAAAACTTCCTACAGTTAAATAAAACATCACAATAAATATCACCCTCAGAACTTCACACAATAAATATCACCCTCAGAACTTCCTACAGCTAAATAAAACATCACAATAAATATTACCTTCAAAACTTCCTACAGTTAAATAAAACATCAGAATAAATATCACCTTCAAAACTTCCTACAGTTAAATAAAACATCAGAATAAATATCACCCTCAGAACTTCCTACAGTCAAATAAATCATCAGAATAAATAAATATTAAATATCACCCTCAGAACTTCCTACAGTTAAATAAAACATCACAATGAGCATCACCTCCAGAACTTCCTTCAGTTAAATAAAACAACACAATAAATATCACCTTCAAAACTTCCTACAGTTAAATAAAACATCACAATAAATATCACCCTCAGAACTTCACACAATAAATATCACCCTCAGAACTTCCTACAGTTAAATAAAACATCACAATAAATACTACCTTCAAAACTTCCTACAGTTAAATAAAACATCAGAATAAATATCACCTTCAAAACGTCCTACAATGAAATAACATCACAATAAATATCACCCTCAGAACTTCCTACAGTCAAATAAATCATCAGAATAAATAAATATTAAATATCACCCTCAGAACTTCCTACAGTTAAATAAAACATCACAATGAGCATCACCTCCAGAACTTCCTTCAGTTAAATAAAACATCACAATAAATCTCACCTTCCGAACTTCCTACAGTTAAATAAAACATCACAATAAATATCACCTTCAAAACTTCCTACAGTTAAATAAAACATCACAATAAATATCACCTTCAGAACTTCCTACAGTTAAATAAATCATCACAATAAATGTAAATAAAACATCACAATAAATATCACCTTCAAAACTTCCTACAGTTAAATAAAACATCACAATAAATATCATCTTCAAAACTTCCTACAGTTAAATAAAACATCAGAATAAATATCACCTTCAAAACTTCCTACAGTTAAATAAAACATCAGAATAAATATCACCTCTAGAACTTCCTACAGTTAAATAAAATATCAAAATAATTATCACCCTCAGAACTTCCTACTGTTAAATACTGTAAAACATCAGAATAAATATCACCTTCAGAACTTCCTACACTTAAATAAATAATCACAATGAGTATCTCCTCCAGAACTAGCTACAGATATAAATTAGATTCTTTTGTTGATACACCACCTCTTATTTTGAATTTGAACTTTGACCTCCGAATCATTTGGTTGCACATTTGCGTTCTCATTGTACTCTATTACAGACACACACAGGACAGTTACTAGATCTGCTGCAAACTCTTCACAATTTTATAAAATGAAATAAACAAATTACAGAACAAAAAATGACAAACAAAACTAATTGCAATTAAATAACTTAATGGAACTGCATTCAAATCTATTGCCTTCAACACCTTTAAACGGCTTAAAATCATAAAATTACATACCGGAATCAAGACTACATCTCCATGGGTTTCGAAAACCCCAGGCATATATCTCCGGAAGACCATTCACATTCGGGTTATCGGTAGGTATGACGTAGTATCGGATTTGATTGTTCACTATCTCACTGCTGTCGATGTCTATACGCAAAATTTTACCCAGCAAAGAGGTCCTGAAATTGAAATTCTACGTATAGATAACCTTTTTTAAAGTACCAAACTGTACATGTTTGAGTGATGTAAATGCAATAAAAATGCAAACACACTAGTCTTGTAGTTTGTCAAATTAATTATATTGACAAAATATTTTTTGTGCTGAAATATGGGGATAAAGAACAGTACCCAAGCTCTATTCTTACAACATATATTGGGAATATAACAGACATTGACCTCTAAAAATCAGCGGTGGGATCAGGTATCATTCGAGGAGTAAGCATCCCCTGTAGACAAGTCAAACCAGCTTTGCTCCTAGTCGTGATCGTAGACAATTCAGTGTGTAAATAATGGCTTAACAATCTGAGTTTGAAAATTCCAGCATTCGACTTAATGAAAGATTTATTTTGCTGCCAATGCTATTGTACTAACCATAGAATTTGCGAATCTTAATTTTTAAGAAGATTATTGAAATCCTTATTTCATCAATTTGTTTTCATTGTCACGTTTTAGAAATTTCCGTACGCTTCGAGCATACTGTTGCAAACCCAATCAACTTTGAGGCAAACTCAATATGCAGGTGTTGAGACTAATTGTTTGAAATATTTTTTTCTTAGTTCTTTAAAAAAGCGTTATTTGTCATCTGATTGTGCAGCCTGCGTCTCTAATTTCAAAGAACATACATAAATAAACTTTGTTAAATTCAAAAGTTCACGATCCAATATTATGAAGGTATCTTATTTAAAAAACAAATAAACAAAGAAATAAATAGAAACAATCAAAATGTGATAATGAAAAATGATCTATCAGAAAAAAAAACTATACTGTAGATTCCAAAATATACGCGAGGAATTAATTATCGCGTAATTTCGCGAGAAGCATCGCTCGCAAAATAAAATTTCTCGCTTTTATTTTTATGGTGCAAAAAATCAATGTAAAATCTCTTGATCAACCATACACTCGCGAATTATTGTTCTCCCCAGATAGCAAGACATAGTTGGGCCAACGTTGGTCCAATTTTTTTTCCAACGTTGGCCCACTGTTGGTAACCTTACGTTGGCCCACGGTAATTTTGCTCATCGGCCCAACGTTGGTCCAACATGTTGGCATATTGTTGGGCCAACGTAGGTATAATTGTATTCCAACTAACAGCCAACCTTAATAACTGGTTGGTTAGGTTGGCCCAACGTTGGCCCTTTGTTGAAATGTCAGATGGCATATTGTTGGGCCAACGTAGTTATTAGTGTATGCCAACTAACAGCCAACCTTAACAACTGTTTGGTTAGGTTGGCCCAACGTTGGCCCTATGTTGAAATGTCAGATGGCATATTGTTGGGCCAATGTAGTTTTTAGTGTATGCCAACTAACAACCAACCTTAACAACTGGTTGGTTAGGTTGGCCCAATATTGACCCTTTTTTTTTTTACAATGTCAGATGGCAAATAGTTATTACATAGAAACATTTGCAATTGGTTATGTGATTCTTTACATAAACCTATTTTATGACTGTTTAAAATAAATTAATACACAATTTAATCTGCATCCATAATGCATACATGGACATGTTCAATGAAAACATTACTAATGATTCACTGTGATAATATTTTATATATACATCAATTCAATCATAATTTACAAAATAAATTTTAAAATAGACAATAGAGGTAAATTATGAAAAATTATCAATTAAAAGTTCTTAATCAGGGCTCACTTCCTTTATTATAGTCCTTTTGTTGTATTCCCGCTCTTTTTCCGTCCCTTCGTCGCCTCCCGTTTTCTTCATCTTGATCTTTGTCATACGGACTCATACTTTATACACTTCTTTATTCATAGTCTTCGATTTCATTGTTATTTACATGTACCGCCACAACATCTGTTTTCCTTGCAGTCTCTGACTGAATTTCTTTGTTACAATCGGTCTGTAATAGACAGTTAAGAATTAGATAGATAGAAACAACTTAAAAGATATTATTTGATTTTAACTTACAGTGCTTGTGTGCAAAAACATTACAAGAATGAATTCCGAATCAATTTTAACAGTTAACCTGAATAAATAAGAATAAATAAACTTACATCACTTCTAAATGCAGCTGTATTGCAAGTGTATAATCCACAAATTTAAATTTCACTTCTTCTTGCTTGTCTGCATTATCACCACCTGTGAGCAATTGAATCTGACACCTCACTCCACAGTTTGGTCACGTGATAGCGAACGCCTAACTAATTATAAAGCTGTGTCATTTTGATTTATGTATATGTAGGCTTCATTCACATCCTGTTCCTGAGAACGTATTTAGTCTTCTCTAAATTCTCATGAATACAACGTTCATGAAAAAATTAATAATTTCAAGGGTTTTATTTCAAATAAATAATCATGCATGTGCACAATTCAAAAAAATATAATAAAACACTCTTTGGTGCTGTGATCACTTAAGACGTTAAAATTTAAAATGTTGAATATATCAGAAAATAAACAATTAAAAACAGTCATCCAATTAAAAGCATGGACATAGAATGTCAGCTCAGCAGCTAAAATTGACACCATCTTTAGTTGGCAGTATAATAAATGGGCCAGCTTGGCCCAATATAAATATCCCATCTTTAAAACACATAAACAAAAGAACACTCGTGCTAACATCGAGCCAACATACTACAAACTAAAATGTTCTACCAAATTGATAAGACATTTTTTGAGGGTGTATTACAAACATTGGGCCAACGTTAGGCCAACATACTACTACCAATTTGATAAGACACTTTATTAAGGATGTATTACAAACATTTGGCCAACGTAAGGCCAACTACTATCAACTTGATAAGGCGCATTCTTTATGGGTGTATAACAAACATCGGGCCAACGTTGGGCCAACATACTACCATACATGTTAACTCTCCCGATTTAGGCGGGAGTCTACCGCTTTTTCACTCCATCTCCCGCCTACCGATTTAATTCAGAAATCTACCGCTTTTCTACAAAACCTGTGTCTAAAGTATTTTTGGTTCGCTTGGGTATCCATTTTTGAAGCCACTCTCATAAAATCTCGCTAGATATCGCGTGATTTGACTCGGAATCATACAAACGCTTTTTTTGTACATAGATTTCAAGCACGGATTTGACAACGACAACAACATAAGACTACCAGTGATTACATTGGTTACGATAAATTCATCAACATCCCTGCCATGAGAAAGGAGATACGGCTTTTAAGAATTAAATGAAAACATTTGACATCGTCTTTAAAAGGACAGAAGCTCACAACTTTATCAATAAAGTCAATAGAAATCATTCGATTAACCAAGCCATGTGGCAATCTCTACTTTCGTTTTCGATCATCGCGGGAAATCTGATTTATACTACGAAATATAACATTATTTATCTTTTGTTAGTCACTGCTATCAATTTTGAATTTCTGTTTGTATGTTTTTTTTTCCTTATTACTTGTATGCCCTGATGGGCCCCAAATTGGTATTAATAAATCTTATCTTATCTTATCTTATCTTATCTTATCTATACGAACTTGTTTTAGATCTAGATTGAACAATGCCATCATTTGTTTTGTTTAAAAATTGAATGAACATTCAGAATTATTGCTTCTAGGCTATTTCAGCAAAGATCACTCTTTCAAAGGCTATATGTAAAGCAACCAATCCAAGCAAAATGATGAGCATGAAAAATATTTGAATTTGTACAATTTATGTCAAACTTAAGGTGTTTCTGTCTTCTTATTGCTGTTGATATTTAAGATTAATTAGTGTAGGTACATGATTTCATTTAAGGCTTATAATATACATGTATATTACATGAAAGATATCGATAATCAAAGTTTTAAACAACACGCGCGCAATGCTACCGCTTTTGAGGTCTGAATCTCCCTCTTTTTCATCACAATAGGTTAACATGTATGATACTACTACCAACTTTAAAAGACACTTTCTACAAGGGTGTATTACAAACATCGGGCCAACGTTGGGCCAACATACTACTACCAACTTTAAAAGACACTTTCTTTAAGGGTGCATTACAAATATCGGGCCAACGTTGGGCCAACATACTTTTACCAACTTTAAAAGACACTTTCTTTAAGGGTGTATTTCAAACATTGGGCCAACGTTGGGCCAACATACTACTACCAACTTTAAAAGCCACTTTCTTTAAGGGTGTATTACAAGCATCGGGCCAACGTTGGGCCAACATACTACTACCAACTTTAAAAGACACTTTCTTTAAGGGTGTATTACAAACATCGGGCCAACGTTGGGCCAACATACTACTACCAACTTTAAAAGACACTTCCTTTAAGGTTGTATTACAAACATCGGGCCAACGTTGGGCCAACATACTACTACCAACTTTAAAAGACACTTTCTTTAAGAGTGTATTACAAACAGTGGGCCAACGTTGGGCCAACATCAACATCCCTCCTTCCTTGGGAAGTAAAGTGAATGGAAGTTGCTAACGTTGGACCAACGTTGGGCCAACATAGGAATTCCGTCATGGTCGAGAAGGTTGGCATGGTGACATTGGTCCAACGTTGGCCCAACGTTGTTCCCCCAACGCCAACCATACAACCTTTTGCCAATGTTGGCCCAACATAGTCTTGCTATCTGGGTCGCGATTTGACGTTAAAGAGGTGTTTGCGATAATAAGTACTCGCGAAAATAAGGAATCAGCAGTAAACAATACAAAATAGTGAACAGGGCATTAAATAACATGGACCAATCGAAAATTCCAAAACTGGGACCAGGTGCCTAAGAGGAGTAAGCATCCTCTGTCCACCAGTCAAGCCCATCGTAAACACTGAGAGTCTTCTGTTGTATCAAAACAAAGGCCTTACAATTAGCCATATTTCGGCGATTTGTAATGTTTTAATTTAGACTCAGAATTGTAAAAATCTTTTTAACCCCAACTAATCTATTCTGGTCTTTTTAAAATATCCGCTCATGCTATAAATAAACACCATATGCGGGCTATACAGCGGAATAATGAAAGTTGTCAATGGAAAAGCTGGTTATCTCATAAATTTGTCATACTTTTAAGATGTAGCAGACTCGGTGGTATCTTTTGAGTTCAATGGAATATGTGGAGTTGACATATAAAATGGAATCAACTCTTATTTTATAAAACATCCTCCAATATATGTGAATGTCAAATTGAAAGCCACAAGTGTAAAAATGTAAAAACAAACAAAAAAATATAACAACAATGACAGTACATGGCATAATATAATAATATAAAATAACAATTTCTGAAAGGAAAAACAAAACTTACATATTCTGCGCACTTGAAGGAAGACCCCCATCTCCGACGGAAATGTAAAGATATCCATCTTTGCCAAATAATACCTACGACGAAAAACAGCTTTATTTGATATCATATAACAATACTGAAACGGTTTAAAAAGTGAACAGATGCTACATTTCTAAATACGTTTTCAGCAAGTTAAAACCCTTCTCCGCTACGTTGACACGTGTTCAACATTTAACCCGATATAATAAATCTTTATAAAAGGTATAATTAAATTATTTCAAATTTATATTTATAAATAGAATATACTTATTTAAGCAATATTTATACCTGACCTCCATTTCTTTTTTCGTTATGCTGACGTATAACCATTAATAATTTCTCCTTCGAAACGTCAATCCTCCCTGAAACTTCTTGAAGTTCCGTTATAAATGCGCACTGTTCTCCATTAAATTTACGTATTGAGTATGTATATAATTTACCATTTATTGAAAACTTAGGATGCAGTGCCATACTTAAAAGGCCACGCTCGTCAACGCTATTTTCGTCATATTCCACTAATGACGTCAAATTAAGGTACACTTTCTTGTTCCCGAAAGTTGACGAAAAAGAATAAACAAGTCCTTGTTGTTCCATCACAAAAAATCTTCCAGCACCCTCCTTCTCTTCTAGCACCAAGAGTGCTTTCTTAGTTGTTAAATAATGCTGTAAGCACACGCAGGGCCGTGTAGCATTAGGTCCCAATACTAATGAACTTGAGACAAAACTTGTAGTAGAGGTATAAAGCAAAGCAAGAAATAGGTTCCGGGTGATCATCGTATTTCAAAGACAGCAATCAATAGACTGTTTCAGCCGTCAAGAGCCAGAAATTAAGATACTAAAATTGAATATAACGATTATCCTTATCTCGGGTATAATTAGTCTGTATTAACAGATTAAAACATGTTGTTTATTCCCAGGGGTATTATCTGATTATTCTGAGCGGGTACCTACCCTATCTAACGACACGAGGAAGCCACTTATCCAGAATTCCATCTGTCACCAAAACGGTATCCGTGGATATTGTCGGATTTATTTTTCTGTTTTATTGATCTGTGATAAAACAGATATATAACTGAAGCTAATGAATATTATTCACCTACTGCAGAAGAATCGTTTTGCCGGAAGCACGTGTTCATAAGCACTACACTTCAAACTAGAAGTAGCGACACAGGTGTAACGGTCATGAGAAAATACACGTCTGACGCATACCTATGTTTATGTGTATATAAATGGTGATATAAGGAATACATAAAGATTTTAGAGGTTCATTCAGAAATAATTCCTGTGATTAGTAAAGCATATCGATATTATCAGATTTATATAATAAACATAATTTTTATTACCTTGTTCCAGTGCTTTAATAGTGAGCAAACGAAGCTTGAACTTTCTTCACGTTTAGTAATAAATTTTGATATTGACAAAAATAGACCGGAACATGCACTTGTATTCAGGTATATATTTCATCTTGGTGTGTACTTCAAAAATCATTACTCATCTGGGTGGATTTTTAATTAATCTAAGATAGAAATGTATTTATTTCATGAAATGTATCAAAGGACAGACAATTCATGCAAGAAGTGAAATACATCTACTAAGTAAATTGACATCTGAATTCCTGTACATTATGTCCATTAATGATTTGTTCTTTAACTCTTATCATATATTATGATGCGAGTGCAGAATTAATATCAATATAGTATAAATAAAAAAGTACCGAATTTCGATTTACTTTTGTATCTTTAAAATGTGTTTTTCATGAACATAGCGACAATTTTTTTTAAAATATAATACATAAAAAAATACAACACAAAAAAAAACCAAATAAAAAATAATAAAAAATACATTTTACCGACTCTTTCACTTTGGTTCTGACGGGATAATCATCATTCCCCTTCCTTTGTTAAAATAATCTGCCAATACGCAGAAATATTACATCCAAATGAAAGTAAAATCGTCTTAATTGAAAAGTATCGGTATAGTGTATCGGTATGAGTACTTTCCTGACATTATAGATTGCTTTCCTAGGTAAAGAATAATGAAACTAATTCCCAAAGTAATGAAACATACGAAACAACGAACAGTATTCAGGATCAAAAGTCCATAAAACAATAACAAAAAAATAGGAGCATAGCAAACACGGACCTCCAAAACATCAGAGGTGGGATCAGGTGCCATGGAGGAGTGAGCATCCCCTGCCGACCGGTCACACCCGCCGAGTGCTCCTCGTCATGATCGAGAAATAACGGGAAAATCCGTCGTCAATTTGGTATAAATAAATAATGGACTAACAATTGGCATCAAAACGTCAGTCAGCATTTGACTCAGTGATAAATGGTATTTGCTGAGAAGGTCATTGAATCGACCATAGAAATAACGGATGATGACTTTAACCGAAACTGCTTATATTCTTATTTCACCAACTTGTTTGTCAATAATTTACCTCGTTTTAGAAATTGTTCATGCATAGAGCATGCCCTTGTGTATCAAATCAACTGAGATACATAAACTCCGTATACATGCAGGTGATGAAGGTATATTGCTTCATAAGTAAGGGAAGTTGACAATAAAAACATTAAATTCATCACATATATCATAGAGCTTGGTTATCAGATTACCATTAACGTCTTTTTCAAGTAAAATATCCAAATACCGGTGTGATTTTATTCTTAAAATACACAAAAACAGATTTGCCAGACCATTCAAAGTATGACATGTATTAAACACGTGGTACTTTGGTACATCACTAACCAATACCACTGTTAGTAAGTAATAAGTAATTAAATCGTTTATCATATAGTGGCATGTGTTACAATACAATGAGAATTGAGAAACATTCAATACATTTATTATTCAAACATCTGGACCTATATGCTAAATACTTTTAACAAAAAAAATTTTAAAAATATGCACTATAATTGTGCCTGGATTTACTCTAAAATACAAGAAAACCCAGGAGCTTCCGGGGTCTTTGCCCCCTGGGCCCCCACCTATATGCTTTATACTTTTAACAAAAATAATTGAAAAGTATACACTATCATTGTGCCTGGTTTTACAACAAAAACGCCCCCACCAGGGTCGATATATCTGATAAGAATGGAAATTACAATTGTTTACTGACAATACGTCGTCGATATACATATGTATCTAAATGTCGAGTTGAAGACCACAGCAAGTACATTTGTATTTTCTTTTCACGCATGAGATTTTGCACAAATTCTGCTTCATATGAATACATGTACAAAAATAGGTCTGCTAATAACCGGGCGCAATTGGTACCCATGGGAATTCAATAAATTGTTGGAAGACTTGGTCACCAAAAACAACATAGACATAGCCAATCAGAAACGCAAGCATCTTTTTGATGTCGACTTCAGGGTACTTGTGTATACAATCAGAATTTTTTCAACAAAATAATTTTGCAAACGACCAGTGACGAGGTAAGTAAATTTACGAGTTCCATTTTTATTGAAAAAGCAGCTGTCAATGATATCAAAAGGCTTGAACTAAAATTTATAGTGGGGAATGGTAGTGTATAAAGTTGAAAAGTCGTTAAGTTATACTACATAATAATTGACGATAAAATGTATAATTTTGCATAATTGTACATGTACGCTCCCGGACCACATTATAGTAGTCCTTTATTTTGATAATGAACAATGTAATATATGTTTTATATTAATATTTATTTTATTCTTTGCACAAGAAAACCAGAAAATGTGGAGAGAGCAGAACCACCGCTAATTGTGATGTCTCCTACGACATAGTTAATTAAAACGGAAATGATGTCACCTTGCGTTAATTCCGTCGTCACCGAAGACGTTCTTCTTAGCCAGGATGGATGACTGTTGCTATCAAGAACCGTTATGGAAATCGGAGATCCATTTTTCAAAATTTTTGCATGCAGGGAATGGCTGCTGTTGCGATGGCCATTCGAGGAAAGTTCCAACGAAAAATAGTAAACTCCAGAAACCGGACAGAAAAACGTGCCCGATTTGTTATTATATGCGTTACCAGAATTAAATCGCACGGCGTCAAATAAGATGCTGGAACCTTGGACAGGGTTAACGAGATCCAATGACAATTCTGCGTTAAAGGCTATTGGCTGCTGGTTAGCATCTACAAGATAAATATATACCTCATTTATGTACTTTCCTTATAGGTGTTCTTTATCACATCATTGCTTCAGATATGCTAAAGGCTAAAGAAAAAGAAACATACCCTTTTCCAGAGTTTCCAACCGCTGTTGTAAAAAACTGAATTGTTCCTGAAGCGAGGCTATGCAATGTGAACAATCCTCGTTCTGTAGCAAAATTCCGGCTGATAAAGCTAATAATGTTGACAGTATTGTCAGATTCAAATTAATTTTCAATATCATAGCTTTTCGTACTTATCTATATCGAAGAAACTACATAAGGTGACAAATGTCAATTCCCACCGAGAGGAACATCAGACTTGTATGAAAACAGAGATTAGTACTACATTAAGTAATTATAAACACAACAATTAATATTAACAATCCTGAAATATAATTCATTATAGGAGCACGATGCCAGTATATCACATACTAGTCCAAATGTATGTTCATACATTTTATAAATGATCAATATTTTTTTTAACAATTAACTATTAAAATGACTTTTGTTCAAGATTTAATTCATATATGATACAAGAAAAATTGAACAGTGAAAGTAAGCTTTGATTCGAGAGTGCACCCTCTGTTACAACGCACTTTGAAAAATTACGCACTTCGAAAAAAAATTTCAAAGTGCGTATAAATGATCAATATTTTTTTTAACAATTAACTATTAAAATGACTAACGCACTTTGAAAAAAATTAAATTTTTTTCAAAGTGCGTTGATATCGACCATATTAACGCACTTTGAAAAAAAATGTGAAGATTAATCAACATTCTAACAAATAATCGGTACGATAAACAACAGATCCTGGTTGGATAACTTTTTTTATGATAAAGTCACTTCAGGACCTGAGATATTGACGTTTTAGGCCTAAATAATTGAGGTTTTGATAAAATAAAACGGAAAAGGGTCTTGAAAAAAAAGAGTGACGATTGTTTAAGATCATTACTTCGTTTCAGCCCCCCCCCCCACTTATTTTGGAAAGATATACATATCGTATAAGCATTGAAAATGCAGCTTGGGTTTATTGCTCCCCTCCCCCGTTTGTTACCGATACCTATGTATTGGAAAGATAAAGATTTGGACTGAGTGATCTTATACCCGTCTTCTCCTCTTTTCGGCGGGAGTAAATCAATTCACAAGTTTTTTGAAAGATAAATAACAAATAAAATCTTTCCATTACTAGAATATGATTTTTTTTTTTCAAAGTGCGTTAAGTGTCTCCATGGTAAAATATATTGATGTAGACTCTTAACGCACTTTGAAATTTTTTTTCAAAGTGCGTTGAGTTGGTCCCAATTGCAAATTTAACGCACTTTGAAAAAATTTTTCAAAGTGCGTTGATTTTGTCCTAATTTTAACGCACTTTGAAATTTTTTTTCAAAGTTTGTAATTTTTTCAAAGTGCGTTGCCACAACCCTCTCCGACACTTGACGAATTCGGGGTTTCAAATTCTCAATCTTCAATTTATTCATACATGGAAGATAGCCTCTAAGAAGATACACATAATCTCGAAGTTGGAAAGGGTAAATGGAAGCTACTTCTATACTGTGGCTCCCTTCAATAACAAATTCATTTAATAATAACTTTTAATGTAAATAAACTATTATCTCGACCAAGGCCAGCTCGTTGGTAAAATCATCTAACGGGTATTCCAGTTTCATGCCACACAAACATATTATACATGAAGCAATTACATTCAAGTCAATAATAGTGCATGCATGTTAAAAAAGAAATTATTTCATTGAATGTTCGACATAAAACACAATTTTTGCATAATGATAATATTACAGATGAAAATTTTACAATGTATTTCCAAACGCCATTGACAAAAATTATACAATGCACTTGCTTCCATTACAGTGTTTCTATCTACTAAATTAAATGAATTATTGAATATACTGTTTCAATAAAATTACATACAATAATTCAATTAAAATCTTAACAAATAAAACCCAATGTGTATATGATATAAAGTGTAATTTATGGCGGAAGAAAATAGAAATCAATACATTTTGAAAATAATGCTGAAGTAAGTTAAGCTATATGCACAGTATTTTCTTCATTGCATGAATTTCAGCTATTTTTTTCGTTAGCTTAAACACTGTCTTTTGACTGAATGTGGTGCTTCTTTACCCTTCTATACTCATCCTTCAAAATCGCTTTGAGAGATCGGTGGGATACAAATCATTCTCTTCATAAATAAGATTTAGTGGAGATGTTCTAGTAGACGAAACGTTTTCTGTAGTTTGCTGAGTGTCGAATAACAGGTGCGATGGGACGCTTTCCCTCCTTTTATACAATACATCCGATGTAAGAGAACCGGGGTACCAATAATGAGCAGAAAGAGGAAGCTTTTCTATGACCGGTTTCATGATTTTATCATCAGAAAGATTTCCCATGACCAGTTTTCTGTTCTGATCATCACAAAAATTTTCCATGACCGGTTTTATGTTATGATCATCAGAAAGATTTCCAATTACCGGTTTTGGACTATCAAAAAAATTTTCCATGACCGGTTTTAAGTTATGATCATCAGAAAGATTTCCAACGACCGGTTTTATGCCCTGGCCAAGCGTATTCGGACTCCAATAATGAGATATAAGGTCTTCTTTTTCTTTTGGAAAAAACATCCCATCAGTAAATGAATGCTCTTGGCGAGAAACCGATCGTTCTTGAGCTCCTGTCAGCGGACTTTGATGAGAATTGTTGGAAAAGCTGTTTGGATTCTCACTTATAGATGGATTTCCGACAGTGTAATTTTCTTGAATCATTTCATACAATTCGGAAAACTTTTGACTGTGTATAGGATATTGAGCATTAGGGTGTCTGTTATAGCCACCGACAATGGAAGATTGGCTTAGTTCACTGTGTGTTCGTTGAGATTTGACATCAAAAGGACGTCCGAAATGAAAAGAATTGAAATTGTTTGAAGCATCCTCCTCATAAATAGTGGAACTAACGTTCGAGACACAAAGCTTGTGACCGAATTCTTCCATATTCTGTATAGTCATATTACTATTGCATTTCGTCCCATCACTGTTAGGCAAGATCATATTTTCTGTGTCAAGAATTGAACCATTCTCACATCCAAAGCCATATCCAAAGCTATCCTTAGAGGTTGTATGCATGTTGGACATTGTTTGATTTCCATGCTCGTTTGTGTTTTTACTGCATGCCTCAAAGTAAGGGTACTCCTGACATCCACTGGTAAAGTTTCCGCAGTGATTGTCAACATTATTCGAAATTTGGTCTTGTGTGAAATCGTAGTATTCGGATAGATTCATACCGGTATTAATATCGTTATGTCTTTTTAATGGGACCGTCCTCTGTTCTACATGTATATAAGGTTCTCCATGTGTCTTTAATTGACTTTCAATAAATCCTTTATACCCCATACTGTAGAAACGACTACTACGTATATATTCTCTTAAGAAGTATTGGCGAAATCTCCAAGCTAGCAAATGCTGAAATTTTCTGAAGGCTCGAGCTTGGAGAGCCAGTTTACCGGGTGACAATGGAGGGTGTTTGTGCTCGTTTGCATCCATTTGTACTAATTTTGCACGCTTCTGCGTGTTGCTTTGCCTGGCACTGTTATATTCTAATTCAATCATACCATTCGTATCCTGAAGCTCATTATCGGTCGATGCTTCATCCTGCTTTGGACCTGACTTTTGTGTGTTACGAGTATGCTGTTGGGAGTCAACTGAAAATGCACTTACTTGGTTTACTGGACAAAGAATCCCATCTGAACGAATAATAAATGTTTGAATGCTTTTGCCGTTCTTGTCAAATAGGATTGTGTTTCTATTTAGGTGAGGAAACTGTTGATTGGCAACTGACTTTGTTACAGAGCTTGTGATAGGCTTCTCCTTTGATCTAATTTTTTTAAGAGGTGAACCTGGAGTATTGTTATCTTTTAAGAACCTGTCGTTTCCTTGTTGTAATGATAATCTGTCTGTTGTATTGCTTCTGTTGCACTCTTTATTATTTAAGAAACCCAACTGTGGATTGGCATTTTCCCCAAACATAGATTTATTTTCTTGAAAAGATTTTATCTGGGGCAAGCATGATTTAACAGGTGATCCAATGTCCTCAAAGGAATTGGATCTCTTTTGTTGCGTCTTTTCAAAGCTAGGCTTTGAGGTAGAAGACTTTTTATCTACAAGATAGGCGGCGTTTTCTTCAATGGAGTTAAATTCGTTTTCTGTAATAGATGAAACTTTATCAATTTTGTAGTCTGTCGTATCTAACAGCAAGGGATTCTGGAATCCAGATTGAGTCCATGCTTCAATGTTTATTGATGGACCACAGTTCTCTCTTTCTGTATCCAGGTCTCTCTGAAGCATCTTGCCCTTCTCTTTCTTTTCCATCTCGGTATTTTGTTCCATATCCAGTCTGCAATTCAGTTCTGCTTGGCTACAGTTAGTGTTGTCTTTCTGGCAATGGTATTGACTAAGGCTACAAGTTGAAGTTATATCCCTGATAGTCAGTTCGGATGATTTTGCCGTTTTACCATATCGCGCGGACTGTGTTCTCTCCTTTTCATGCGTACCACAGTCTACTGGAGAAGCGAACAAGCCTTTTTGGTACTCTGTCAGTATGCGATCTATGCTGTCATGGAGTATAGAACGCGTCAGTTTCTTGTCTTTTTCTTCCCCTGACTGAGCAGGAATATGGTGCTTGTACATCAGTCAGAATCCGCACACTCCTCTTTGAAGAATGTTTTCCTGCTTTTTCAAAGTAACATCTTCAAGAAAATGATTTTTTGTTGTTCATTTTACGCATCGTACTAGATGAACACAAAGATAATCAAACCTGACTGTTAGGGAAAACATCACTTAATTAAATCAGATTGACAATCACAATGAAAAAAATCTCTTTGACACTTTCATTTCTTTTTTTATACTTTATAAGTAATTATAACTATATTCCCTTGGTTTCATTATTGTGTCATGGAAGAAAAACAAATTAATTTTTATTTCTCTATAAGATTAATAAATGAAATGGTAATAGAATTAATACTTACACTTCAGAAACTGTATTTACTACTATCTGGACGCAATCAGCTGACAGCTGTCAAAGCGTTTTTACAACAAATCTTCCTTTTACGTGAACACGTGAGCTTCCGAGTACATGTGTTTTTTCCTGTCCGGAATCACACGTGCAAGAGACAACCTGACTTAAAATGTATGACGTCGTTCATAAACAAACAACTTGCATGCGATTTTTTTTATTCACAATGTTTTGAAGAAAATTTTAAAAAGCATACTAGTATTTAAAGAGCAATATTTAACATTCCATGGCATATCGTTAGTGGGTAAAATCTGTTATCCGAACATTATCTTGAAATCGTTGAATCCTTGCATTCTTTGAGCATAGTGTAATGTTACACTTAGTTTTTTTTTACTATAATAAACTCTTACACGTATGTTTCTATGCTCCCATAATTAAATATTCGGGGTATACCGGTAGTTTTTGTTTTGTCCGTCTGCCCCCCCCCCCCTTAGATTTCTCTAATAACCGTCGTCCTACCCTATCCTTAGGACCATGTTTGGAACAAGTATGTGGATGTGCATACCGTATTTATTTGACCTGACTAATTAGGCTCTATTGCTCTTGAAAATTTTCATTTTTATTCTGTCCAATTAAGCTCTCAGTATGTATACTTGAATCCCTCACCTCAGCATCGAAATCTTTCATTGAGATAGGTGTATCAAATTGTCCAAAAGGAAAATAACAATGTAATTAAAGCAATATTTAGCATTAAATAACAATGTAATAAAGCGATATTCAGTATTTTCTGCTTTCCTTCTCCATATTCTCATTTCCTTAACACCTGGATGATTTGTACCAAATTTGATTTTAACCGGGGGGAGAGAGCGATACGTTCACGGAGTCCTTCGGGCTCGGTTAATGCATGTATTGTACATCGCAGGTCGCTTAATCATCGTATTAACAGCAATAATTTTTTTTATTAAACAAATAAAGGAAAAACCAAGTTTACAGTTGGAAAAGCCAAGATAAAATAAAGTTGTAAAATGGCAAGATTAAAGTTGGAAAAGCCAAGATTCAAGTTTGAATTGCGAACTTTAAAGTTGGAAAAGCCATCTTTAATAAAGTTGGAATAAACAATAGCCAAGTCTTAATTTGGAAAAGCCAAGGTTAAAGTTGAAATTACCAACTTATAACAACATTACGTAGCACTTATATGCTTCCAAGCATTTGCTAGAAGCGGGCTTGAATTAAACATCACCAGTATTTCAAAATCTAAATGTGCACTGTAGAAAAAAATCACGATCAGGGCATCAGGCAAATAAACTGATCTTCAAAGTAGGGGTAACAGTTTATCTATAATATTTATATATACATTGTACTAGCCTTAAAAAGAGCAGAATGGGGAGGGGTAGTTTTACAATGAACCTTTTCATACTAAGATATGTTAAAACAGTTTGGGGAGAGGGAAGATTCCCTACCTCCTTCCTGATTCAATGTGAGTGAATGTTTTGTCCATACATCTAAGTGGAAGTGAGAGAAAGTGAACTGTATAAAACTATATTTGTATCGGTTTGGAATTTCTTGATCAATTTTTAGTCCTATGTAGAAACAAATCCTTAAGTTCACCCTGAAGGTCATGTCAGGTGAACATAACCTGGTATTTTTTCTACAATGGATCCCAACCAACCAGTGAGCTAGGAATAGGATCCATTTTTTGCATGATATTTTTAGTCGAATAATATTTGCACTAGATAAAATTGTTGTCTAAATGTACATAAACAGCACTATTAGAAGATAATCTATAAAAAACAAGAGGCCCATGGGCCACATCGCTCACCTGAGAAGCTTTGACCATTCTGTTCTTTACCAGATTTCCCCCTTACTATACATAATGCATCCCCACCCTACCCCACTGATCATAATTTAGACATTTTGAAATCTACACTACCCCATGATCCTTCCATAGGCACATATGTTTCAGCTTTTTTGGCCCTGTGGTTCTTGACCCAAGAAGATTTTCAAAGATTTTTCCTATATATTTCTATGTAAAACTTTGATTCCCTATAATGGCCCCACCCTTCCCCCGGGGGTCATGATTCCTACAATTTAGAATTTACACTAGCCCAGTATGCTTCCACATAAGCTTCACTTTTTCTGGCCCAGTGGTTCTTCAGAAGAAGATTTTCAAAGATTTTTCCTATATATTTCTATATAAAAATTTGATATCCCATTGTGGCCCCGCCCTTCCCCCGGGGGTCATTATTTGAACAATTTAGAATCTACACTATACCACGATGCTTCCACATAAGTTTCAGCTTTTCTGGCCCAGTGGTTCTTGAGAAGAAGATTTTCAAAGATTTTTCCTATATCTTTCTATGTAAAACTTTGATACTCCATTGTGGCCCCGCCCTTCCCCCGGGGGTCATGATTTGAACAATTTAGAATCTAAATTATACCAGGATGCTTCCACAGAAGTTTCAGCTTTTCAGGCCCAGTGGTTCTTGAGAAGAAGATTTTCAAAGATTTTTCCTATATATTTCTATATAAAACTTTGATACCCCATTGTGGCCCCTCCCTTCCCCCGGGGGTCATTATTTGAACAATTTAGAATCTTCATTATACCAGGATGCTTCCACATAAGTTTCAGCTTTTCTGGCCCAGTGGTTCTTGAGAAGAAGATTTTCAAAGATTTTTCCTATATATTTCTATATAAAAATTTGATATCCCATTGTGGCCCCGCCCTTCCCCCGGGGGTCATGATTTGAACAATTTAGAATCTACACTATACCAGGATGCTTCCACATAAGTTTCAGCTTTTCTGGCCCAGTGGTTCTTGAGAAGAAGATTTTCAAAGATTTTTCCTATATCTTTCTATGTAAAACTTTGATACTCCATTGTGGCCCCGCCCTTCCCCCGGGGGTCATGATTTGAACAATTTAGAATCTAAATTATACCAGGATGCTTCCACATAAGTTTCAGCTTTTCAGGCCCAGTGGTTCTTGAGAAGAAGATTTTCAAAGATTTTTCCTATATATTTCTATATAAAACTTTGATACCCCATTGTGGCCCCGCCCTTCCCCCGGGGGTCATTATTTGAACAATTTAGAATCTTCATTATACCAGGATGCTTCCACATAAGCTTCAGCTTTTCTGGCCCAGTGGTTCTTGAGAAGAAGATTTTCAAAGATTTTTCCTATATATTTCTATATAAAACTTTGATTCCCCATTGTGGCCCCACCCTTCCCCCGGGGGTCATGATGTGAACAATTTAGAATCTACACTATACCAGGATGCTTCCACATAAGTTTCAGCTTTTCTGGCCCAATGGTTCTTGAGAAGAAGATTTTCAAAGATTTTTCCTATATATTTCTATATAAAACTTTGATTCCCCATTGTGGCCCCGCCCTTATACCCGGGGGTCATGATTTGAACAATTTAAAATCTACACTACACCAGGATGCTTCCACATAAGTTTCAGCTTTACTGGCCTAGTGGTTCTTGAGAAGAAGATTTTTTAATGACCCAACCCTATTTTTGTCTTTTCTTGATTATCTCCCCTTGCAAGGGGATATGTCCCTTCATTTTAACAATTTAAATTCCCCTTCACCCAAGGATGCTTTGTACCAAGTTTGGTCAAAATTGACCCAGTGGTTCTTGAGAAGAAGTCGAAAATGTGAAAAGTTTACAGACGGACAGCTAGACAGACGGACGGACAGACGGACGGACGACGGACAAAATGTGATCAGAAAATCTCACTTGAGCCTTCGGCTCAGGTGAGCTAAAAAGGCATTGCTAAAGATGATATGACCATGTGCAGTCAAATTAATTTATTGCTATTTTATTTCTTTATGCCTTGTGGCACATCAGATAGTTCAGAACATGCACATAATAAGCAATAATACATGATTGATAATATAAATTTGGTCTATTATACACATATAAAGCTTCAAGAATTAACTTGCACGTAGGCATCAGAAACAAATTGAAAGTGAAAGGGGGGGGGGGCCCTAAACCAACAAAAAAGAGAAACTCCAGTTTTCAATGCCTATATTATGTATATATTTGCAAAAAAAAAGGGGGGGGGCTAAGCAAATTAATTAGTACTTACTAACTTGCACATAATGAACAATGTATTATTTTAAAAAATAATATTATGGCACTTCTGAAAATAAACAGTTAAATGAAAAGGCCTAGAGTTGCTAGTACACAAAATGTATTGCTACTTTAGCTAATACCATGATCAACAGCAAATAATTATTTGACTTTTAAGTGTATACTTAAACTTAAAATCAGGTTACCTTATACATTATATATATTCTAAATTAAAATCATTATTCTCTTCTTAAAATAAAAACAATACACATATAAGCTTAAATATGATGATGAAATCACAACAGCAGTATTTATTGTGTATATAAGAATAAATAAGTAAAATGTGCTTTTGTGATATTTCAAACATGAATATTTAAAAAAATATGAATATATATCTTTAAGTAAACTAGAAGTGCAAATAACCTCTTCTTCAAATATCACTCTGAAGATCTTGAACCTTAGTCCTAGAATTTCTCAAAGTTCTTAATCCCATCCACTTCAAAATAACAAAATCTGACAGTATCCAAATAATTAAAGTAGCCATATTATAATTCCCTCTATATTTTGTGGAAACCATTATAACCCCGGGTGTGGAGTTTGTGGGTGGGGAAGGCAGGATCTATAGCAGTAATAACCAGACTTCTCACTAGATCGGGCAGAAGCTTTCTGGAAATACAGCAATGAAATCACATTGAAACATTTTACAGTGCACAAGTATGTTTTTAAAATAATTTCAAACATGATGATTTTTATGATCATTTAATAGTAATTTTTTTGACAATCTATATCTGAAGTGTTGCAAAAAATCATTGCGAAGCTATTTAAAGTTAGAAATGCAAACAAATAAAACTTGTACTTTATATACAGGGTGTTTCATAAAATATGTTACATTTTGAAATCTAATTATTTTTCTTACCGATCATTTTTCTGTCAAAAATTTTATATCATTTTAAACATCGAATCCTGCATTTTTTCATGTGAAAAGGTCTAGGTAATCATGGTCTTGCAATGATTAATAGTGCTATAAATGCAGATACCATGGTTTGAATATTTCTCGAAATGGACTTGAATTGTCCACTCAGTGCTGAATTTTAAAGCTGTTTTTTTTTTTTCAAATCATGTCGCCAATATTCATTCTATTCATTTATAAGTTCAAGAAATAAATTTTCCAAGAATAGAACCTTTCTAGGATGCTTATCAGAAGGGTAGTAACAAGGTTAAATGACAGGGACGAACAGTATGCGATAAATGACACAGTATTCAAGAAAGACAAAAGACTTTAAGAAGCGGATATTTTATTGGTGAAGTTGAGACTTTTAGTGTAGGAAAATTCTGAAAAAAGTGTCTGATATTTTCAGAGATTTATTCTGGCAATATCAGCATTTTCAGCATATAATGAACTTTTAAATATGATTTGAAGTAATCAGTATACAAATTTTCAATTAATGCAAGGAAAGAGTTTGACCTCTGCATTCGACAATCTCAATTTTGGAGCTTCTTTCGGAGGGGTTCTTAAAGAACATGGTCTACAATCCTAGACCCCAGATATTGAATGAGCTTAAAAAGAACATGGACCTTCAAATGAGGAGTGTCTAAGCAATAATGTTACACGGTTTTATACAAATTTCAAGAAGCAACTTCATTTGTTGTTAAATTAATGGGGATCATTTGGAACATGTAATGTGAACTTTCGACGTAGTGAAATTCAACGTATTAAATATGGCGCAACTTTGAAATATGGCTAATTTTCATTAATGTTTAAGATTTTGTTCAGTGTTTAATATTTTAGTTGGTAATTGTACATTATGAATAGTATGGATATGTGCATAAATTTGATAATAAGACTTATCTGTGTCTTTTTCTTTTGTTTGTCAAATTGAAGATTCAAAATGTAACATATATTATGAAACACCCTGTACATGTACATGAACAAACAGAGAGCCAGTAGCGTAAAATACAACAATCTACATCTTTTGTAGATAAAGTTTAGGAAGAGAACTTTTTATGCTTTGATAGATAAGCCTATGCACAGCAGTATAAAGCAGTGTTTTGCTTACTTTGCACAGGCAGGGGCTCCATTGATTTCTATAAGGTGTACCATCATTTCATCATCCACGATGAAATCAAAACCAAACAGCTGAAAACTTTGGTACCCGAGGAAGTTTGTTGAAATTCTCTGAAATGAAAGCAGAGGTTACTTTATACAGTGACAATTATAATGCCTTACCTCTCTAACTTTAATGTTTGTTCCCAGGAATGGATAAACAGAACATCCTGTTCCACAATGTTCATGATTTAAACTCTTTTAGTGGCAAAACCACCCACCTACTCCACAGGCCATAATTTGAATGTATCCAATTCTAAATTTCTAGGAAAAACGTTATATTCTCATGTTAACCTTTTATCCCCTTCTGACCCCATCTTAATGAATTTTCAGTCATTAAGGATGCTATGTAATTCACCTTATGAAAGGGACAATCATGTGCCAATTTTTTTAAAATTAATTTTGCTACTATTCAAAATGAAGAAGTTTTTATGAAAAAACTAGAGGTACTGTGAGCAATGAGCTCACTAAATGATACCCCGCCTCCCATATGAATATAATGGCAGTGTCCATGTTTTGCTCTGGAAAATCCAAAATATATGTCGGATCAAAAGTAAAATAAAAGGTGCACAATGGCAATATGTAATAAAGATTCTGTGAAAGTTTCATTAAATTTCCTTCAGTGGTATGAGAGGAGTTGCGGATAAGAGATGGGTACCCCAAAGCGTAACAGACGGACGGACAGACATACCGATTACTATATACCCTCCCACTTTTCAAGCGGAGGGTATAAAAATATAGATACCTCTTTCACTATTTTGAACACAGTCTTTACAATTTCCTTAATCTGAGGCAAAATGGCGGTATCTAATGACACTCCAAACTTTGACCGCAGGTATCTGTAAGTGAAAGTAACAGAGACATGGAAATAACTATGATAACTTCATAGACATATCACAAAAGACAATTTATCAATATAATCAATTCTGTCTCCATATGCAGAACCTTAGCTCAATCTCTGGTGAAGAAAATTTAGACAAACCAGACATCCACAATTACAATTTAATAAAACCTTAAATTCATGGTACAATTTTTTTTTGTTGCTCACTTGGGTATTTATTTTTTGTTTTATAAAAATTATCCCCTCCCTCCCCAAAATCATTGGTATTGTTAATTAATCATATAGTTTACTCATAATCTTTATTTAACCTTTCCATATGGTTCCTACAGCATGACCCCAACATGGATGCCAGAATGCAAATTTTCTAAATTGAAATCCCAAGGCAACAAAGAGTTCTTTGGAATCATTGAAAGGAGTTTGAAGCAATGATTGTGATTAAAATGTATTGATAATTTATGGATATTATACTTTTAGCAGGGGAATACATGTATTACAAGAAACAATGCCTGGAGGGTATCAGCTCTCTTTAATTTATAATTTTTCAAACAAAGAATGTATCAAGAAAGTCTCTATAGAAACAATGCAGTTGTGAATAGAATTCCAAAATGACCTGTTAAAGGCAGGAAAGAACATTTCATTGCCCTCCTCATACATTCCGAAGTTTGCTGATAGATCTTTTTGTAGACAGTGATTGGTTAGATGGCTGGTGATGTCATCAAGATTTTCCCGTTGGTAACTCTCTGAAGCTGTGCGTAAGACTCCATCCTCAAACACGTACACATTGTAGCTAGCATCCAGCAAAACCCAACATCTGAAAATAAAACATCAAATATTTCTCAGTCTCATTACAAAAATAGGGACTATACCTATAAATGATTAAATTTATGATTAATGATACCTTATATCAAATTTACGATCCTCTTCCAGAAGTAATGGATTATCTATGTATCTCTGGATAACAAAAGCTTGTGTTTGTTGATCAACAAATTTAATCAGCTCAGATACATCTGGAGATATTTTTATCCCCTCTCCTAAAACAAAAAATCCCATTGATATAAAGATTAAAAGATTAAAAGAAAGCTCATTAAAAAATTATAACAGAATTGATGAAAGTTATTTGGAACCAGAAGTCTCTGTCGAGACTGAAGCTCTACTGGTTTGTACTTATAACAAATGAAGACAAAAGTAGCAGTTGGGACTTAAAACTTTACAACAGCAATAAATAAAATAATGATGCTTGATTGAAATTGTGGCAAGATACTGCAATAAGACTACAGCTGTATGAGTAGCTATTAATAAACTTTTAGAGTATTTACAGTTTTAGTAACCATGGCAACATCATTCCTCGAAATCAAAAATCGATAAAAAGAATTGTGTATCTTAGTGTAGTCTACTCGTGTGCCAAGTTATATTGAAATCAGACCAAAACTGCAGGAGGAGTAGCATTTTGAAAGCATTTCAGAGAAATTTCTATTTTTAGAAACAAAGGCAACACCGTTCATCGAAATCAAAAATCGATATACAGAATTATGTATCTTAGTGTAGTCTACTTGTGTGCTAAGTTATAATGAAATCAGACCAAAACTGTAGGAGGAGTAGCATATTGAGAGTATTTCACAGAAATTTCTATTTTTAGTAACCAAGACAATACTGTTCATTAAATTCAAAAACTGTTACATAGAATTATGTATCTTAGTGTCGTCTACTTGTGTGCCAAGTTATATTGAAATCAAATCAAAACTGTACGAGGAGTAGCATTTTAAAAGTATTTCACAAAAATTTCTATTTTTAGTTACCACGGCAACACCGTTCATCGAAATCAAAAATCGATATAAATTATGTATCTTAGTGTAGTCTACTTGTGTGCTAAGTTATATTGAAATCAAACCAAAACTGCAGGAGGAGTAGCATTTTGAAAGCATTTCACAGAAATTTCTATTTTTAGAAACAAAGGCAACACCGTTCATCGAAATCAAAAATCGATATACAGAATTATGTATCTTAGTGTAGTCTACTTGTGTGCTAAGTTATAATGAAATCAGACCAAAACTGTAGAAGGAGTAGCATATTGAATGTATTTCACAGAAATTTCTATTTTTAGTAACTACGGCAACACCGTTCATTGAAATCTAAAATAGATACATAGAATTATGTATCTTAGTGTAGTCTACTTGTGTGCCAAGTTATATTGAAATCAGACCAAAACTGTAGGAGGAGTAGCATTTTGAAAGCATTTCACAGAAATTTCTATTTTTAGTAACAAAGGCAACACCGTTTATCGAAATCAAAAATCAATAAACAGAATTATGTATCTTAGTGTAGTCTACTTGTGTGCCAAGTTATATTGAAATCAGACCAAAACTGTAGGAGGAGTAGCATTTTGAAAAATTGTTTACAGACAGACAGACAGACAGACGGACGGACGCCGGACGCATTACTATCGCATAAGCTCTTCTGGTCTCTGACCAGTAGAGCTAAAAAAGAGATGAATACAAATTTATACTGTCTTTTTTACCCCCACTCTCACCCCCACCCACCCACAAAACAGAAATAAAACTAGAACTGTCCAATAGGGACAAATACCCCCCGCTGGGTTTTTCAGAGTAGGTGCCAATTCAGAAATATTTTATGGATCTAGTAAGAGGTGTTCACTATTGTCTAATAAAGTGCCCCGCCACAGCATGATACCCCCATCAAATAGTTCGATAATCATAAATTGGTAGGGTGCAAGAAAATCAAGTAACCTTGATTAACAGATTAATTGACACAGATTTCAATGATCTAATTTCCATTTCTTATCATATATTGTACATACATCTCTAAGAGACTTACAGTGTAGGGATTAATTAAAACAAATAATACATCATATAATTCTAAACTGGCTGTGTTAGAGCTTAACAAATATCCATCTGCAGCTTTCAATTGTTTATTGCATATTTTATGAAATAATGGAAATGCTACAGTCTAATGAAAAAAATCAAAAATTAATTATTCTTTAGACTATAAAATTCTAAGTGAGACATGACTGCAATTTGTTGCAGATATATAAAAATTGAAATGTAATTTTTTTTTAAATGAACACATGTATATATTTTAATTATATTATTTAATACTAATTCAGTTTCAATCATACACTAAAACATCAATTTGTTTTAATTACATTACACCAATTGAAAGATCTTTATCTGAACTACAGCCATCAAGAACTCTTAATTAACACAAGCAACTATGAGGCCATTTCTTTTTGCCCAACTCCCTAAAGATAAATTAAGATAACACTGCATCATGCTTTTTAAAGATTAACTCCCAACAATGAACTATATATTTCTCACTAATTTGACATGCACATTTCTGCTATCAAAAATTCTCCTTGACCAGTGCTTGATAATTAGGCCCATGGGACAAACTGAATTCCTTTCAAATCATTAACATTTGTTACAGAATTTGCTGTAAAGTATATGATAAAAAATAAGTTTTTACTTAATTTAGCATTTTTTAATAAGGATACAACTATCTTTTTACATTTTTTAGGATTATGAAATTTAAAATTTTAAAGACTTATTTTTTTTAAAAAAATCACTTAAATTAAAGGTCACAGTGACCTTGAAATAGGTCGTGACACACCGTCTACCCAAGATGCATAAATTGTCCAAGTTTGATGATTGTAAGTCTAATAGTTTTCTAGTTATGAGCCAAACAAAATCACAAAATAAAAAAGAAAAAAACGCCTGTAAAATGCAGAAAAATCATCCAATCATGATGAAAATCCCAAGTGCACACCTTCATATGGTGAATAATAAGTGTATAAATTTTCAGACAAATCCATCCAACAGTTTCTGAGAAACGGTCCAGACAAAATCTTGTGACAGACGGACAGACAGACGGACATGGTGATTCCAATATACCCCCCTAAACTTCGTTTGCGGGGGTATAAAAAAATATTGAAAATAAAAATGGCAAAAGCACAATTCTCTCATTTTCACATGGACATAAAACCTCCAATCATTTTGATTTTACATTGTATAGATTTTATTGATCCTTGCCTTTTGAGCCTGAGGAAGATTTGGCTATCCAGACAACTGGTTTTTTACTTTCTCTAGACAGAACTAGTGACCGTTCCTTTAATTCTTTTCTCTCGTCTGGTTTGGACACTCGCCTGCGTACGGGATGAGCAGTGGGTGGAGCAGACTCCATGTTTTTTGCAATATCTTTAGGACAAACTATGAAAGACTCTGGCAGCCATTTTGGTATGGGTTTTGCCGATGTGGTGTAAAACTGCTTGAAGACTCTGGAAAGGCAATGTAGTATCATAATCCATGCTTACAAGTCAAGTGACAAATTTTCAAGCTATTTATATAACTGAAATTTTCTATATTTTGACTGCCAAATTTATATAACGGACCTATATAATTTTCATTGCCATGTTTATTTACCCAAAACATCACGCACAACACTACAAGTTTTTCAAACTGCGTTTATTCCCAGTAAACAGGGTGTTTTCTGATTAATGTCATTTATTCCTTTTATGTATAGGAATTGATTTATTGATAAATTTTAAGGCATAATAATAATATAATTTAAATATAAAGAAAACAAAGACTGAAATTGGCGATTTCTTGAAAATATGGCCGATCGGGGCATGTGCTGATTTTGCATAAAACAAAATTACTACTAAGATAAGGAGTATAATACGTGCTAAAAACAAATCTTGAATGATTTTTTGACAAATAATTAAAGGATTTTATCTCATATATGCGATAGTTTTAGAGATATAATTAATTAAAGTTGACTTACGAAATCCCGCGACTTATGAGATATCACTGGACTTGCTGTAGTTGCCTATCCCGTAAGTATATAGGTCCGTGATCAAGATTATACATCATGTCACTGGATCTACTTTATCATGTTTACTATACATCATTTCACCTGATTACTCTATAATGTCTACATCAGTCACTTAACTATTTTATCACATCTACTATACATCATACAGTAAAACTCGGTTATAACGAAGTCACTGGGACCTCTGAAATTACTTTGCTATATCCGTAATTTGTTATATCCATATAAGGAATTAATTAAATTTATATAGCTTGGGATCCAAGATAACTTCGCTATATCCATAAATTCGCAATATCCTTGTTCGCACTAACCGAGTTTTACTGTATCACTAGACTAATTTAATTTATCATGCATAGTTTACATCTTGTCACTGAACTCCTTCATTGTGACCCTATCTAAGTCTTACCTTACTAAGGCAGTTTTTCTGCAAATGACATCTGATCCCCTGTAATAATTCACCAACTGTGTAAGTCCTGGTTCATGACCTAACATAAAAATCACAACATTAAGCAGAAGAACCATCAGAGAGAGAAGTCAAAAAATAATATCTCTGTATTTTGATCTATATTAACTATCAATAATGTGCAAGACATTATGGTGTACATTATGAACACGCCCTTCCTCAGATCAGTGTTTCCCCATTTATTTCAAAGTAATAAGGGCTAGAGAAAAGTTGTAACAGGTTAAGTGTTGAGGTTTATGAACAAAACATTTGTAGTTATTTTTATCAATTAAAGCAGCTGATTTGGCCTATAGCTGGTTGATTCAGATCATCTTTTCTAAGACAACAATCTGAGAATTCAAGGGTGATAAAGCAAGAGAGCGGGAATGTGATGATGAACAAGTAGGAAACAGAGCAAGAAAGTGAAAATGTATAGAAGGCTACTTTAAATCTTGCCTCCTTTCAACTCCAAGTTGTACTGGTCCAACTAGTTGTACTCTTTCTTTGCCAGAGTTATCTCCCTTTTATTGCATTTACATTCTCACACCCTATGCCTCAAACTTTGTACCCTTGCTCTTAGAATGAGGAAGAGAGGGAAGAACCCTATCAGTTCATCATCATACATAGTCTTGTACATCTCTTTTTAACCTGACTCATTATGATTTATGAAGTGTGAATTGTGAGCATAAATTGTTATTACATGTCATACAACATACTTATGAATATATGCTGCTGTAAATGATTTAAATCCTGTAAACTATTATTTGTGTCATCTTTTATTTGCAATTCATTAGTTTTAAATCAATCTGAGACAATTTTCATAACTGAGGAACAAATTCTCTACTGTGTAATACAAGACAATATAAATGGTTCACAGCAATTAAATTTGTTAATTAAAAAAGGTCACAAATCTTGTGGAGATTTTTTTCATATAAATAAAAGTTGTTTTACTGTATTGACTGAACATTTTAAATAACAGTCTTTCAAGAAATAAGCTTAATAAAATATTTTGTATTAAGTATCACAATAAGAATTTAAATAATAACTAAAAAATCCAAACATACCAAGTCTTCCAAACTGGAGTTTATTTCTTTCACCAAACATAAGATGGAAGCTGGCTACATTGGAGGGCAGTTTTCTCCAGTCTTCGTCATTATCCACCAGGTATTTAGACACAGCCTTGTACACGGAACTATGGATGTCTCGCCTGACAAAGCCATACATTTCTCTCTCTGAAATTATATTTAGCAAAAACATTTTTAGGACCATTTCTCCAATTTACAAGTACAAAATCTAACCACATAGCCCACTGCAAGCAAATGGACTCAACATCAGACTCCTGATCTACGTAAATGATCATTGATTCAATTTGTAAGATTTATTAATTCTTATACATTTATCATTTTCAATAGACTGCTTTTACAAGAACCATGTTTCACATCCAAGAATATGAAAATCTACATTAATTATTGTCTTTAATTTCAAGGTTTTTGTTGATTTATTTAATAATTAGAATAGCTGCTTTCAAATTTATATTGCTATTCAAAATGTTTCATCATTGTCCATGTATATGCTCTGAAATGAAAATGATATAGTTTAGATGAGAATGATCAACTCTTAGAATCTTTTTTTAGAAGAGAGTTTATTTAGTAAACCTTTGCAGAAAGTGCTACAGAAAATTTTCAAGCTATTTAGACTGGTTTTAAATGATGCATCCATAAGCCTTTACTTTCAAAACTTAATGCAAGAAATCCATTTCACTTCAGCATCAAGTATTAATATATTTAATCTTATAATATATTTGATTTTAGCTGTTAAAATATAGATCATACATTTTCTCACACATTACTTTACCTACAGATTATAGGCTGGGATATTTATGACCATGGCACCTGTGAAAACCATCTACAAAATAAGAGTTGATTCCCTTGAAAACCATTTCTGAATAACCCTGAATATCCATTAAATAAGATTTTTTCTACATTTAAAGAAACATGTAAATAACAATTTTTAAAAACCTTTCGATAAAAGACAAGGCCATGTTCAATTTCTTAAGACACATCATTCCAATGTTTACATCTCACATGGTGACTGACAATTAGAACTCTTTCGCAAAAAAGGTACATATAGTCAATATGATTTAATTCCTTGTCTATCAAACGTTTGATACAGCGAAAATTACACATTAAATTGTAAAATAAAAATTAACATTGACAATTTTTTTTATTGCCGTGTGAAAATGCACAGAATTTAACTGCATTTGCTTTATTTTATCGGTGACTGGGGTAAGTATGGATGATAGAATCGTAGTACGCAAGAAGAGAGGCCGACCAAACAGAGGAGGAGGGCGCTTTAATCGTGGTTCATCAAAAAGTTCACGAGGAAGAGGCAGTCGAAGAGATGACGACCGACAATATGGAGACAGAGGGAGAGTAGATAATGATGACAGATATCGGTATACACTTTAGCAGACTTCCCTTTTTGTGATTATCAAATAAAGTCATAGAAGTAAAAATCTCAAACCTGTTATATCAAATGTTGACGGTGGGACCGTTAGGGCGAGTGCAGATACTTATTCATTTTAATTTAGATTGGGTTTATCAAACTGTACATGACATTTAGTGCGTCTAAACTCTGACATCCAATTATGTCTCTTTGCCCAGGCGTTGTCATTAGAGCTCGCAGTTCAGGCCATACTTTGTGTCCCTGGCTGTGCTTGTTAAAAATACACAGTATTTGCATGAAATTGCATCACTGCCAACAGCATTTTGACCACCTTTGGATTCAATAAATAAGAAATTTCTTTAGTTGTATGCTGTTTAAAGTTAATATTTGACGGTGCAAACTATTTTTATGGCATGGAGATTGCATTAAATCGTTGTTTGTAATTTCTTTGACTCTAAGTTGTTTTATATTGTGACTTGTGCACCGCAAAGGATTATTGGGAGTTTGGATGTGGCTCATATTTCTTGGAAAAAGTGGGAATTTCCTCTGCTCGTACACGTTAGTTGGAGCTCGCTACAAGCGGCGCTCCGCCTCGCTACCTTTTACAACTTTATTTCACAGAGCTAACTCCCGAGACGCGAGAAATCAGTAAAACAATTATTCTCCTACTTGTTAATCGTCATTAATGTGATGCTTTCGCCGTTTAAACGACCCTATCACCGACAAATGAAGCATCACTTGAATTAGGTCGCCTCCTCGCCATTCGACTTCTTTGCGCATGACGTCGGCACACAAATACACAAAATTCCAATCGGTTTGAATGTAACACGTGCTCAAAACACGTGTTTTAATACCTATTCAGTTTTAATTTTGATTGGGCTTGTCAAACCACATTTGCTATGTATAGACTCTGATGTCACATGACAGACTTGTATGTCAATTGCAACTTCATGCATATGGGTCTTTCAAACAACCTCTGACAGAAAGACTTGAGATGATGTAATTGGTTGTATGTATATTGCTTTACCAAATCCAAGTCTGAACAGCAAATTTTCATTAAAAACATCTAATCTACTCTTTATCTGCTATTTATTCATTAAAATCAAAGCAGGTTCATTTTTTCTAACAATGAATTGTATGAGACTGCTGTTCTGCTAATTTTTATGGAACACTGAGAAGAAATTTTTATTGTGCAATGTAAATATAAAAAACCCCACCGTTTTCTTAAATAAAATGAAAATCCATCTTTGCAACCAGCTTTCTAAACATTTTTGAGAAACAATTTTAGTTTAATCCAGTAATTTTTCTGAAAATAAAACCATAATACATTGATGTGTTATAGGAAGAATTTGGCACAACCAAGTCCTAGTTTTGAGAAAGAGGTCCGTGTACCCATGCAGAGACTTCTGATGACAACAGAAAACCAAGATATGGTGGAGGACATGCTTAGAGATTTACGTGGGGAAGAAATTGACACATACAGGTACAAAAATTAATATGATGCATTTCTGAAGGCTATGCGTATAAAAGCAAACATAAATTTATAATTAAATGCTATATATTTGGATTAATTTTTTAATCTAATTTATGATTACTAAAGATTGATTAAATCAAGCTTTTATTAATGTATCATCCTTTTGATATACATGGTGTCTGATTCAATTAGTGATGAGGAATATGATGAGTTGGATGACCGCTATGAAGACCAGTACTGGTTGACAGACAATACACTGGTTGTGGAGGAAGCTGTCAACTATGCTGGTCCAAAATCTACAGGACAAAAAAAATATACAGTGGAGAACGTCAATAGATATGCTGTCAATAAATTAGTCAGGTAATGTATGTCTAATGCTTATATTCAAATCTCCAGCTTTGTTCAGAATTGATCACTTATTTTTTCAACAATATAATATTTCTTTAACATTATACAAATTACAGTTTAAAAAGATGATTATTTCCGGTAACTTTTAGATTTTTTCTGAAGGAATTTTATTTCAAGAATGATTGCTTTAACCAAGTTTAAAAGATATGTTTCCAGTGTAAATGAAAAGCATCATACAGTGAATATAAATATACACTGTATGTATTACATTATGTAAACAAACATTGTAGTTGTTTCTGAAAATAATCATTGACAATATCAACAGGTATGGCTTTGAAAAGCAGAGATGTATTGAGGCACTGCAGCTTCTGGACGGAGATATTGGATCATCACTGGAATATCTCTACAATAAATGTTTCGACTTGCCCTCCCATGTAGCTATGAGTAATGATGTTGGGGAGGATAGTGATGGTAATGGAGAGACTGAAGATAAAGTCATTAAGAGTAAGGAGGAAAAGCTGGAAGAGGGAGGAGTTACCTGGGAGGAAATAGAGGAACAGAGGAAGGAGGAAATTCTAGCTCTGGAATCTATCTATATTGATGAATTTGAAGTTAGAATCCCAAACAGACTATGGATGTTCCGTCTTGAATTGAAAAATTTGGTTGATATGGTGATGGAATCTGGTGGAAATTCAAAATTTAGTAAAGAAGCAGAAACAGAAAGGGATTCAAATATATGTAAATTTTATCAGAAAGGGTCATGTCGGTTTGGTGAAAAATGCAAATACAAACACTCTTTGGAAGTGACAAGCACAAATCGTGAAGCTACTGAAAAGGATGACAAAGCGAACTTCGAACTTGAACTTCGCTTTTTGGAAGATAATATTTACCCATATGAACCTCCTATTATTGGGTTTTCTTCTTTAGTGCCAGGTTTTCCTTATCATTTATGTTTGAATATAACAGAGGGGCTGTTAAATGAAGCCAAAGAGCTAGCCTCCAATCAGTCCCCTGCATCGTTCTCTCTAATAGCCTTGTTGGAAGATGACCTAATGATTGCTCAGTGGATAGAAAAACCTCCTCTACCCTTCAGTCTTCCAGAATCAGAACCTTCCATCATCCCTAGTTTAAGACATGACATGAAACTTGGAAGCCCAAAGTCATCTGAAAATTACCATGCTGCAGAAAATTTGGAAGATGAGTACTCAGGAAATTATGATGATGAAGATGCAAAGGATTTGAGAGTTACAGAAGGAGGAAACAGTAAACAAAACAAGGGAGACATAGAGGAAGTGGAAGACAGACCTGTGGCAATGAAGAGGACAATTTCCAGAGAGTCAGAAAACAATCAAATATCAGAAGGAGAGCTTCTCAAGCAAAACAGAAGACTTAAAGATGAATTCAAAAGAAAACAGGTACATTATTTGATATGTATACAAAATATTTTTGTACTTCATGCCAATTTATAATACAGAATTTTTAAAACTTTATTTATATCTACTTTTGATTTTTTTTAATCTTTGAAAAATGGTTGAGGAAGGGGATTACACTAACTTCATGTACTAATATAGGACATGTATTTACCTTTAACAGGTTGGGCACAGTTCCTTTTTCGGGGAAGTATTACTGTAAAAGGGAACTATTACTCTTTTCAGTAATAAAAAACGTTACTGAATTCGGGAATTTTCACTCATTTAGCCTCTATTCTTGTGTTTGTTTTGAATAAAAGATAAAGTGCAAGAATATTTTCACTTCCTCTAAATATTTATTGTCTATTAAATGTATGTGTGCTCAGAACTACAACATTTATTGCTGCAAAAAGCTGAAAAAGAGTGATGAAATATTTCTTTGATATTTTTTTGTGTGTGTGTTAAAATTGTGATAAAGTACGTATAGCACTTGCTAACTCGTTCGTAATATGAGATTATTAGATTTTATAATTTTACACACTATTTCTGCAAATGAAATCGTAGTAATAATTTTAAATATCACTGCTTCTTTTAATTGAAAATAATTATTTGAAATATTAAATTTCAAACGACATTCTTTTAAAATTGTCCTGGAATGAATGCCCTTATTAGATTCCAGGTACTTTTGGTACCATTATCAACATGGGAAAATTATTAAATCTCATTTTACCGTTTTGCAGCAATGGAGTAATTTTTCAGTCAGCAAGGTTTGTTTGATAAATGATAAAAACATCACACTAAATTTTTTATGCACTTTTTTTTAATAAAATAGAGGCATTATTTAAAAAATGACAAAAATTTTGAGTAATGTTTTTATTCCATGTGATAGTAATAGTTCCCCTAAAGTTAGTAATACTTACTGATAAAAGGAACTGTGCCCAATGTGTTTAATGATTACTTGACTACCAAAGGGTCAAATACTGGGGGTGCTTTCTCAAAAAAGCGCTTGCCAGCATGGAACAAACAAGAAGACATTTTGGAAGCTCTGAAGAAGCACCAGGTTCTGGTAATCAGTGGAATGACAGGGTAATCCATTACTAGTCTGTGTTTAGTATTAATATTCAAACTTTTTGGAGATAATTTATATTCCTGAAATTTGCTGCTATTAGTTTGTAACAAAGTTATCTGTACAAAAGCTTTCCCCTTGTTATTCCTTGTGCAGTTTATATGAGAAAAAGTACTGAAAATTGATCAAGTTATATGCATAAATATAATTTTTTTATGATTGTCATTTCAGGTGTGGAAAGACAACACAGGTGCCCCAGTTTATCCTGGACTCCTACTTAAGGAATGAGAAGGGTCTGAAGATGTGTAACATTCTGTGTACACAGCCTCGGAGGATTTCTGCCATGGCTGTAGCTGAGCGAGTGGCGGAGGAAAGGGTGGACAAGCTGGGGAGAATTGTGGGATATCAGATCAGACTGGAGAAAGTGCAGGTGATTGTCTCAGGATTTTCTGTGTTTTCAACAATGATGAATGAAATAGGATGAGTATTACAGAATCTGAATAATTAATTTTATTTATAAGACAGTGTTAGAAGCAAAATTGATTGGAAAATATGCATTAGAAACCCATGTTTTCAATTGTTAAGATAATGTACTAATTTAATCTCTTTTTTGTTCTGTAATTTAGTCTTCATTGACAAGACTGCTGTTTTGTACAACTGGAATTGTTCTGAGAAGATTAGAGGGGGATCCAGATCTTAATGGGGTGTCACATGTCATTATTGATGAAGTCCATGAGAGATCAGAGGAAAGGTTTGTCATTTTTAAACTCAGTACAAATTAAAGTTGTATTGTATTAGAAGGTAACAAAAGCACACCTCATGCAGCAGCGACACATTTGTTGTGTATGTTGAGTCCTGATAAGTCTGTGGTATTTACAGTGACTTCCTGATGATGTACTTGCGAGACATGCTCCCTAAGAGACCAGATCTGAAGGTTATCCTGATGAGTGCCACATTGAATGCTGAGCTGTTCTCAGAATACTTCAATGGCTGTCCTGTCATTGATATTCCTGGTAAGTTTTTCAGTTTGTGTACCGGTATATACATAATATCTAAGGGAAAATTATCATCAAGCATGGGAAAGCCATACTTATAATATACTAGTACATGCTTATTATATAATACAGAAGATTTTTCATGCATGTTCAGAGTTAAGAAAATAAAGAATGACATTTTATGGAAAGATGTCAAATAACTGAAATAAGGGACCTTTTTGAATGTACATGTAGTACAGTACATGTAAAAATGTACTGTATTATAATTAATATTCTGAGATTTGATATCCTGAATTCCAGGAAAAGCCTTTCCTGTCCAGTCCTTCTTCCTAGAGGATGCTACAGAGCTAACAGGATTTGTGATGGAAGAAAGGTCGCCATACGCCCGCCCCCTGAAGCAGATGAATGCAGTCAGACAGGGACAGTCCTGGCAGACGTATGAGGAAGATCTTAACACAGATCCAGGGAAACCCCCAGGGGAGAGGGTGAAGGATGAAAACCTCACAGTCAAACAGCTGATGTACCGATACTCAGGTAATGATCTATAAATATCTCAGCAGCGACTCAGCTGATGTACCGGTACTCAGGTAATGATCTACCAATATTTCTGCCGATTTTATATGAGAAATTTGTTGACTTTAACATTTTTCTTCCATGTTGTTATAATTGTTTTTTCTCAGTGCCTATATATCCATGACATTATTTCAAATATTGGACAGCCAGTCTTTAAGATGTTGAGTTTTATCATTCATTTGTCTTGTAAAAAAGGAAAATAAAATTATATTAAAGAGAAATAATAATGACCAGATTAATATTCTTACTAAAAACAATGCAAGAGTCTATACTTAATCAGTAAAGGAGGTGGACAATGTCTTGCTAACTAACTTGACATTTTGTTGAAGAGTATAAAAAGTTGACCTGTAAAGCTCTGTCCATGATGGACTTGGACAAGATTAACTACGACCTGATTGTGGATCTGCTGGAGTGGATTGTGGATGGAGACCATCAGGTCAGAATAAATATCTTGTCATTTTGTGTCAGAAAATGAAGACAACATCTGTAATCGATCTATACAGTACTGAACATGGAATGATTAAAAGGTTTGTTTTTCTGACTTTTCAGTATTCAAAAGGAGCTGTTTTGGTGTTTCTGCCAGGGTTTGCTGAGATACAACAGCTGTATGAGGCACTGACATCTCATCGGGTGTTTGGTGTCAGGAGTGGGGGCAGGTTAGTAACCAAAAACTCTAAAAAATAATAATAGAACAGGAACTTTGTTACTAAATCACTGTTGCAGTACAAAAAATTGAATGATTATCTGTTGATTTTCATGTATCTTTTCTATTTTTCTGAACCTTGTTTTATTTAGGTTCAAAATCATTCCTCTGCATTCTACACTGTCCAGTGAGGACCAGCATGCAGTTTTTCTGTGAGTATATCAGTTTCATTTGCTGAAAAGGTCTTTAGTAGAAAGCTACTCTGATGGAGTATTCTCAGATTGTTCCATGTATGCTTTTTTATAATTCAAAATTTCAGGAAACCTCCAGAAGGTGTTACAAAGATTGTCATAGCAACCAACATAGCAGAGACGTCCATCACAATAGATGACATCACCTTTGTCATTGATGCTGGAAAAATGAAAGAGAAAAGGTATCAATTTGTTTAATTAATTGTTTTATATTTTACATTTAAAAATACCTGTACAATAGCTTTGAAGAATTCTAAATAACATATAACCAACGATAAAGGATTTAAACAGTTAATAACAGAGACTTCTGATTGTTTTACATGCAAGATCCTTTTTAAGGACCAAAATTTATAATTTTAAAAGCTGTAATTTATCATTCAATTTCCAGGTATGACTTCAGCAAAGGAATGGAGAGTCTGGACACTGTGTGGGTGTCCCGGGCTAATGCTCTCCAGAGGAGGGGGAGGGCTGGGAGGGTCACGTCGGGGGTCTGCTTCCATCTCTTCACCAGTCATCGCTTTGACTACCACCTCCAGGATCAGCCAATCCCTGGTCAGTTTCCTTATATTGAAATTAGAGCAATGATAATGCCAGTTGTTTTTGTATATTTTGCTTTTACAAGTACATGTATTCAGACATTATGCTTTTGGAAACAATATGATTTGTTAAAATAAAATTATTTATTGTGGCAGAAATTCAAAGAGCACCTTTGGAGCAAATCTGTTTAAGGATCAAAATGTTGGATATCTTTAAGACAGTAAATGTTCAGGTACAGTTTTATAGTGTTCTAATTATATCAACATGTGTATACTACTTTAAAAGATGAACAGAAAATTAAGTGAAAGGTACTCACCAGATCAGAATTTTGGTGCTATTTTAGGAAGTATTGGAGCAACTGCCAGAACCACCCTCTGAAGAATCCATCATGGCAGCTCTCAAACGTTTACAAGATCTAGGTGCTCTGGATGAAGACAATGTAAGAGCTGTTTACATAAGTACTGAGTAGATGCATGTATATTGACAAGTATCATTTACATGTATGAGTTTTTAATTGAAATAATTCTCTAATTAAAATGACTATTAAATATTTTTATAGGAGTTAACCCCCTTGGGTTATCATTTGGGATCATTACCTGTAGATGTCAGGTGAGATTCTAACATTTTGGTATAAGAACAGAAAATAATGTTGAAGCATGTTTTAAAAGTAATTTAAAGCTGATGAATATTTTTTTTTTTACAGAATTGGGAAGTTGATGCTGTTTGGAGCAATATTCAGATGCCTTGACCCAGCATTAACCATTGCTGCAACTCTTAGTTACAAGTCCCCATTTGTATGTGTAGTTTATTAATACTTACAAACATTTAACTTTAAATGAGAATTAACAAACTTGATATTAGTTTTATGTACTTTACTTCATTCAGTCAGTTCTTTTCTCAGGTGTCTCCGTTTGACAAGAGGGATGAGGCAGACAAGAAGAAATTAGAATTTGCTGTGGGGAATTCTGATCACCTTACAATGCTCAATGCATACAAGGTACCTATATATTTGAAGTTGAATGGAGGAATATTGAGGGCAGTTTATGCATTGTTGTATGTATCAGTATCGTGCAAGTAGATTAAGGCTATGTATTGAGGTCTAAATTTTATACATTATTTATCAAAAATTAGATAGGATATACCCTTGTGCCGACATTGTTTTGTTAATGTGTTTATTACCTTGAATGGAAAAGATCAATGACGTCATATGATATGATGTCATAATCTGTAGTTGCTTTGTCATGCTGTGGGTACTAAGTATGTATAAGAAAATAAGCTTGAACCTTCTCTGTGTAAAAATTACACAACATATGCATTTTCAAAAGCTCATTTGCACAGAAACGCCCATACCTAGCCATAACTCACTAGCGCAGTTCTGTTCATTGTGAGGAAGTGTTCCAGTTATTAAAACCCTTCTCTTAAGCTTAATTTGCAGACTTGCTACATTTTAACATGACAAGAAATGAATGCCCAGGTCTCTTGTAATCACTGTTAACTTTGTACAGGGATGGATCGAGTCCAGATTGAAGTCCCATAATGAGGGCTACAGATTCTGTCATGAAAATTTCCTGTCATATAAGTCCCTCCAGGTAAGGATTTCATTATCAAAATGTTACCTAATGTACAATCTACTTAAAATTATGATAAAGCTGAAATTTTGAAAATTAAGTACAGGTCTCTGTAAGAATCAGACAAAAGGTGAATCATGAGGGTTCTCAGAATTCGATGATTTTACACACATAGGTTTCTCTTACCCTATGAACCACGTATGTAAAATGAAAATTATTTTGGGTCCTGGTTACTATGGAAACATAGCCAAAGAAATTTTCCCTAGCAACCAGTCAATTTTCCATGTTTATGGACAAATATATCACTAAAATTAGAGGCTTGAAATTGAATGTGAATATTACCAGAGGGGTTCTTAAATAATGTTATCATAAAGATAAACATTTCAAGTGATAAAACCATGTAATACATACAATTTTTATTTCAAGATATTTCTTTTACGGGCAATGGAAGATATGCATGTTTTGCATTTTTTGCTGATTCAGCATTTTTGTTAATTTGGGCAATTTTCAAGGCCATATATCTCAAACTTCTTGCACAATACAAGAGTATGGTATATTTTACATAAAGGCAGAGGAATATCCTTTTTGGAATTTATATTCAAAAACGTGTGTTTTTTAATATTTACAATTGGTTGCCTAGCAACAAAAATGGATGTTTTGATTAAGAGAAAGAGACAAATTGTCAAATATGCGAGTTATTTATGGAATTAAATCTTATCGGTGGATACCAAAATCAATTTTTAAAGTAAAAATATATTTCTGAGACTTCTTCATGAATCCAGGAATATTTTGCATATACTAATCGCCATAGCAACAGAAAATTCCCCATAGCAACAAAGAAAATAAATCCACTTTTGACATGCACTCATTCACAGATTTGATTATTTTCGTCTAGAAATGATGATTTGGTAAATATTAAAAAATAGTGTTGAACTTTAACAATATTAATTTTTGATCTTATTTAATGCATAGCAATATTACTGAGCTTATAACGTTAATAAAATTATACACTACAAAGAGCTAAAGTTATTTTCTAAAGTCTCTGTACATAAGCATTTTAAGACCAATTCTCCGTAATTATCAAAATTGGTTGGCAACGCATACTTACAGATTTGAATTTTTTCTGTCATAATTTTAAACAAATGTGTGATTGAATGTGAAATGTAGAAGTATTTTTGAATTATAACCTCGGTTTACCGTTGCCATGGGAACGGGATACAGACTTTCTCATTTCTGTAAATCATGAAAATCTGCTCTTTTCATGAAGATGTCCAGAAATGAAAGGAGATAATTAAATTTGTGTATAATTTTTTTAAACCAGTGCTAGAGATCCAAACAACAATGTTTACGGTTCAATTTTCATTCACACTTGTTAGTGGTCATGCTAGGTACTCGAAAATATCAAAATATGGTAAATTTTGCTGTTTTTAAATGCTTAGGACAAAAAATACAATCATTTACAAATTAAGCATAGGAAAAGGAAGGTCAACATTTTATTACATTAAACATTTTAAATAAAAATTCGGTGGGCAAATGATATGCATAAAAGAATTTTAAAGGTGAATATTAATTTTTTCTGCATTTTGAAGCATTTTTGCTTCCCAATTACTTCCCTTGGATTACTCTCTAAATGATTTTTTAATAAATAATTATTACACGCTGGGAGCAAGCCCCTGTGCTTTTTTCTTTCCATTTTTTGGCTTTCATGCATTTAACCGAGATTCCCTTGCTTTGAAAATTGTGACACCTGAGGGGGCCTCTGCCCTGACTCTCCCCCGACCCCGGTACATTTCGCAATAAAAATATTACATTACATGTAAAAACACGTTGATGAGAGACAATGTAGGCATATGTCAGGTCAGACAGTGACAGACACAATCTCTATGTAACACTGTATATATACTCAGAGTAGCTTGTTTAGACGGGTTAGATGTTCAAACCACAGGGGCCGGTAACATACTGTTTTTGATTTTACGTAATCACTATATATATACAAAAAAGGAATACATATAGTGATTACGTAAAATCAAATACAGTATGTTACAGGCCCCTGTGGTTCAAACTAGCATGATTTACGATTTTTACCAGTTTTCTTCATGAGCAATCTTTTTTATGAATTTAAAAAATGAATCTTGGTGAAAAGGGACTTGCTCCCGGTGTTTAAAAAATATTTATTGAAATATCATTGTTTGTATAATTGGTATATGATATTTTTATTTATTTTTTTTTTACAATAAAAGCACACCTTCAGCTAGCACCAAATTTTATTTCAATGCAATAATACATTTCCTTTATTTCCCTTAACTGTAACTGTAAAGTTGGGGGGGGGGGTGTCTTCTAATAAACATTTCCTACAGTAATGTTACGTTCGAAAAAACTGGGGGGGGGGGCAGCCCCCACCCCTTGGGCCCCCTGTTGCTACATCCCTTTGTTTGAAACAATTGTCCAAATTGGGTATAATAAAACTACAATACATCAATAGGGAATCAATGCCCTAAGCAGGACAAATACAGAAAAAGTGCCTGCAATTGTCCAAAGTCAATACTTGCCATATAAATGTAGGACAAAAAAAAAATATAGCCTAATATTTTGTACTGTAAATTTCTATCCCTAGCGTTCATAGCATTATTGATCACTTTGCATAAGATGATATATTTTTACCAAGCAATGGATTTCGAAAATCAACATACATCTTTCGAAGTCTGCAGTCGTCCGCGTGGCGCAGTGGTTAAAGCGTCTGCTCGAGAGTCGCAAAGGAGTCAATCCTGACGTCCAGGGTTCGAATCCCACTGTGGGACATGGAGACTGGTCCTTCGGATGAGACCGTATAAACCAAGGTCCCGTGTCGCAGTAGGTGCTGGCATGAAAAAAGATCCCTCCCTGCTCAATGACCCTCAGTGCCAAGTATATGACAAAATTTGCAGCTCTCCACCGTCTCCATGTGAGTGAAAAATTCTCGAGAGAGAGACGTTTAACAATATACACAATCAATCAATCGAAGTGTACAAATTCTCTTTAATTTTGTGTGGTATTTTTTTTTTTAACTTGAAAAACATTAAACTGTTTTTAGCTCACCTGAGCCGAAGGCTCAAGTGAGCTTTTCTGATCACATTTTGTCCGGCGTCCGTCTGTCTGTCCGTAAACTTTTCACATTTTCGACTTCTTCTCAAGAACTGCTGGGCCAGTTTCAACCAAACTTGCCATAAAGCATCCTTGGGTGAAGGGGATTCAAGTTTGTTCAAATGAAGGGCCACGTCCTCATTCAAGGGGAGACAATTGGGAATTAATGAAAATTTAGTGGTATGTTTTAAAAATCTTCTTCTCAAGAACCACTGTGCCAGAAAAGATGAAACTTATGGTCAAACATCCTCAGGTAGTGTAGATTCAAATTTGTTCAAATCATGTCCCCCGGGGGTAGGGCGGGGCCACAATGGGCGACCAAAGTTTTATATAGAAATATATAGGAAAATTCTTTAAAAATCTTCTTCTCAAGAATAGCAAAGCCATAATTGCTCATATTTATATGGATGCATCCTCAGGTAGTGTAGATTCAAGTTTGTTCAAATCATGACCCCCATGGGTAGGGCGGGGCCAAACTTTTGGATTTAAACTTTTCAATAGTATTGTTAACCAATGTCTACTTTTTCCTTGCCACAATGCTCGGGTGAGCGATGTGGCCCATGGGCCTCTTGTTGTAACTTACAATAATATATAGTGTTACTTGAAAGGAGGGATGTTTTGATGTATTCAATAGGTATACCCTTATACATCAATACACTAAAAATTGTACTACAAAACATAATCATATCTGCACCCTGCACTATGTACCCTTTTCAGAATACATATATCATCATGATAATATATTGTGAATTAGGTGAATTTCCTCTTGAACTGGTCAGGGAAAAGAAAATCCTTAAATATTGTTTTTTTTTTCTTTTTAAGTAGTGACTAGTGATAATTGTATTCTTCAAGCATGTCTCCTAAAAAGGACAGAGGAAAATAATGATGACTGCATTGTAAATATTAAAAGTGAATTTCATTGGCTAGGCTTTGCAAAATTGTACATGTTAGATAGAAACTGTAACACAGTGTACATATATGTACTATACTCCCGAAGACCAAGTGCCCTAAGTTACTTACCGGTAGTCATGTTATTGCACAGAATAAAAAAGAATTATGTAATCTAGGAAAATTTGTGCAACTAGCGAGTGCATCAAGAATAGTGTCTTTCACTTGTTTACACTGTAAGAAATGTGTTTAGAATTCAAACACTTTTCTAAACACTTTTTTGTCACCTTCTTTTTTATATGTTTAATTCCTAAACATGTTTAGTTTCTAAACACGTATGAGAAAGTGTTTAGAATCTAAGCACATACGTGTTTAGATTCTAAACACTTTCTCATACATGTTTAGAAATGTTACATGTTTAGGAATTAAACATATAAAAAAGAAGGTGACAAAAAAGTGCTTAGAAAAGTGTTTGAATTTTAAACACATATCTTAATTATGTGCTTAGAAACTAAACATATCTAGATTTAACATATTAAAACAAGTGTAACTGCAAAAAAAAATCTATAAACACTTGTAAATTTTGGCACAAAGAGCATATTACTTAATACATAAAATATTATCATGATTATTTAAATTTTCAAAATATTAGCCGATATAAATTATTCATCTTAAGGCCTCTGATTGTTTAGATATGTAGATACTTTACAATTGTGTGATGTTCTTTTTACACAAATTTAATTTTTTGATCTCTATAAGTTCAATCAGCATGACATACATTATATCTATAACGCAGGGATGAGCAACAAAAATAAAAAAAAAAGCTAGCAATTTTATATCAAAACTTTAATCTTTTTAATAATGCTTTGTTAAAGATATATCAATTAAAATTATAAAATATTTATTTCAAATAATACATTTTGTATATGATTAATTACAGTTTCAGTCGGTTGCAGAGTGTTCCATATATCAGTCATCAAAATGTCAAACTTGCATGATTAACTTTCAGCAGTCCTAAAGCACTATATAGCACTACATAATATAATATCCCATCAGTAACTGCCGAAAAGTAATCCAATTCAAATGCACAAGGATAATCACAAAATGATAATTTTAGGTACATGTAGTCAAATCCTTCGAACATTGTCGAATTAGGTGTAATCCAATACACTTGTTAAAATACGTTAGTGTTGATCATGGAACAACAATTTGAAGATGACGCCATGTAGGTACTTTGATACATGCATGCTTTGAGTTCAATCCGGACTACTCACATAACCTGTAGGAAAGAAAGTCAGATTTAAGTGAAAGTACCGTATGCTGCCAATTGAAGATGGCATCATTTTTTCAAGTTGCATTGAAACTATACTTATATTAAAATAGTTATTTCAAATGAAGTTCAATATAAACTCCTCTCCTACAAGTCTATAAACGACCTCAAGGCACTGTTTACATTCATCATCGTTGTTTAATAATGCAAATCGTGATAAAAAGAAAACATACCTTTAATATATTGCAGTACAAGATGCCTTTCAAATGATTTTTCAATAATTCTTCATGGTTATCAGTTGGGATGTCAGTATCTCTCCTTGATACGTCCCTTAAGCCTTTTGTGATTTACTTTGTTTCGATGGCCGCTCAAATTAACATTCAAATATACGAATATTTTGTGTCATTTCCGGGAAGATAACTCTGTATTTTACTACAGAACGTGTTTAATTTCTAAACACATTTAGAAATAAAACATGTTTAGACGTAAGTGTTTAGTTGTTAAACATATTTCTATACATGTTTAGATCTAAACACGTCATGGAAGTGTTTAAATCCTAAACACAATTTTTACAGTGTATACATTATAGAAAATATAATATGTGCTGTACATGTTGCATGTTAAGCTCATCATTATATTTGTTATTAAAAATGTATAATTGTGAGATATATGTCTCTTTAACTTCAATAAACTGAACTAAACTGAGATAAAATAAATAGAATTCCTAATGCCATCAATGTACCTTAATTTTCAAAGAATACATTCATTTCCAAATGTTTAAATTTATTTTTAAAAAATGGGGTTTTTTTATATTTGCAAAATCTGATTTCTACTTCGTGCACTATTTAGAATTTCTGACTTCAGCCTAAATTTGCATGTTTCATTAGCTATCTATTTACTTTACTGAAAGTGGGCTAGTGCTCCTATCTTGAGAGAAAAAAACAGGGTGGGGTTGGGTTGGGGTGGGGGGCAGAAGAAGGCAGGGGGTCCAAGGCTGCACTGAAGTCCCCATTGGGTTTAGGGCATGGGACGAGTGGGGGTCCACAAATGAAAGATGTTTTTCCTTGATTTTAGGATGGTGGACATATAAATTTTATATACATTAGTGTACATGTACAAAATCTTCAAACGGGAGGGTGGATGACCGGCACACCGGCACTGGATCCGCATTTGTGACATGTATACATCCCTAGGACCTTGCAACACCACAACACCAACAACATAAGAAAATTTGATCATTTTCTTCTTTTCCGTGTAACCACGGAAACAAAGTACCAGTGGTTTAAAGTAATATCTTGCTGCTTTTGGAATTTGCTTTCTTGGGTACTATTTACATGTTCTCATAAATAGGCACTGTCAGAAGGGTACATAAACAGTTCGATTTTGTGACACCTGATTGCACACTCAAAACTCGTGGCCAACATGTAGTACTCCTTGCGTGGTCTTAGATTTTTTGCGTTTATTCCTTGTTTTTATGTGCATTTTCTGTTTGTAAATGATGTATCGACCTATATTTTTCATGATACTTTTGTCCTGTTTTGGAAAAAGTACGTTAACTTTGATAATTTCATCGCGACCGAGTAGCACGGCTATGTAACTTTGTAAGATGTACGTCTACACTTGTCGGATCTCTACAGCAAAATACATTGAAATGATAAGCGATCTGCTCCTTATATATGGGTTGTAGGGAGAGCGTTGAAGAACAGGAAATATTGCGGACTTTGGCTTTTTACGATTAGTGTTCAGCTTTAATCAAGAAACTTGTTATTTGACTCACCTTAAATAGTACTTATCTGGAAGAACTTAAGTTACATTGGATACATGTATCACTTAAGAAATAAGACGTACCCCCTCCCTTTTAGGGGTAGGTCGGGACCACAAATATATTTAATCTTTCCAAGGCTGAACTGATTTTTGCTTTGATCCCTGCTACGGTGCTCAGGTGAGGGATGTGGTCCCTGGGCCTTTTGTTTCAAATTTTAACTGATACACATTTTTTTCTGCTTAATTCCCTAGCACTGCTCTTTTTGGAAGAATAAAGTTTGAAAATTTTGAAATGTGAAAATCTATATTAATTATGACCAAAACAATGTGTTTATATTGATCATCTGCGTGAGTTATATAGAAATGTGATTTTTTTTTAAATATAGGATAAAATAAAAACATGCATATTTATACAGTTGAAGGCTTGCTTTGGTTTCGTCCCTGGAAAATGTTTCAAGGCTCTTTTCTCTAATATTTTGTTGTACATTTATTTCAACCCCTTTACATGTAACTGTGAGATTGAGATTGAAAGAAAACTCGTCTAACTTTTAAGGCCTGGAACCTTGCCACTTGTTTGTTTATAGGTATAAATGTTAACTATAACACTCTAAACATGTTAAAAAATGCCATATGGCGCTTAATAACTTTTCATGATTGCTACATGCTCATTGTTGTTGCCATGTGTAAACGTTAAAAACATTCTGAGATTATTGCATAAGCAATGCTCGTCCGAAAAATCTGACGTTTTCCTGGCTTTTTTACGATTTTGATACTTTACATGCCAGGAAAACGTCAGATTTTTTGGACCAAAGCAATGCATGCCCCTACCGGTTTCTCCCTTTTCTCTAGAATGTCATTTTATAATATGCAAAAGTTATGACCATGCTAAAAGTGTTTGATGTTAAAAATTTTGAGGTTATGCATGCCTTTAATCTAAAAAAAAAAAAAAAAAAACACAAAAAGACGGAAATTTAACTCATTTTTTTAAACATCTTCTTTTGGCTTCATCATCATTCATGTTCACCATGTTGACCTTTGGAATTTAGCACAGCATGAACCCGATCTTAAACCATTATGAAAAAAATTAAAACGCCCTAAATCTATCAAAAATCAGTGAAGCGTAACGACATTCAAACTTGATCTTTGACTTACCAAGATACACTCACATGCCGAAATTCAGCTTAATATCTGCAAGCGTTTAGAAAATAAGTGTGGAAACCCAAGTAGAACAGACTTACAGACAGACATAGGGACAGCTAGACCGACGCACAGACTCAGAGGAAACCTATAGCCCCCTCCAGTTTCACGGGTTGGGGACTAATAAAGTACAAAAAATGTACTGATGCTCTTAAATCACTGTGGTCTGTCAAACACCGAATAATCTTTACAAACATATATGAGTGCATGTCAAAAGTAGATTTATTTTCTTTGTTGCTAAGGGAAATTTTCTGTTACTATGGCGATAATTATATGCAAAATATTCCTGGATTCATGAAGAAGTCTCAGAAATATATTTTTACTTTAAAAATTGATTTTGGTATCCACCGATAAGATTTAATTCCATAAATAACTCACATATTTGACAATTTGTCTCTTTCTCTTAATCAAAACATCCATTTTTGTTGCTAGGCAACCAATTGTAAATATTAAAAAACACACGTTTTTGAATTTAAATTCCAAAAAGGATATTCCTCTGCCTTTATGTAAAATATACCATACTCTTGTATTGTGCAAGAAGTTTGAGATATATGGCCTTGAAAATTGCCCAAATTAACAAAAATGCTGAATCAGCAAAAAATGCAAAACATGCATATCTTCCATTGCCCGTAAAGAAATATCTTAAAATAAAAATTGTATGTATTACATGGTTTTATCACTTGAAATATTTATCTTTATGATAACATTATTTAAGAACCCCTCTGGTAATATTCACATTCAATCTCAAGCCTCTAAGTTTAGTGATATATTTGTCCATAAACATGGAAAATTGACCGGTTGCTAGGGAAAATTTCTTTGGCCATGTTTCCATAGTAACCAGGACCCAAAATAATTTTCATTTTACATACGTGGTTCATAGGGTAAGAGAAACCTATGTGTGTAAAATCATCGAATTCTGAGAACCCTCATGATTCACTTTTATACACATATTGTCTGATTCTTACAGAGACCCGTACTTAAATCTCCAATTTTTTTTTATTTTTTACCAGATGTTGGCCAGTATGAAGCAGCAATTTGTGGAGCTGTTGTCAGACATTGGGTTTGTGAAAGAGGGAATTGTGGTCCGAGATGTGGAAAGAGCAGCCAGGGGAGGATCTGATGGGGTGGTGGATGTCACAGGGATAGAGGTGAGCAGGAAAAATATCCTCAGTAATTTACAGTCTGGTAACAATATGTGTGGTGCAATTCATAAGGTTACATGTGAATTGTATATATTTTGTATATATCTTGTATATATTTGCATTTTTTCAATTGCAGGCCAATATTAATTCAGCAAACTGGAAGCTGGTTTCTGCCATCTTGGTTGGAGCATTGTATCCAAATGTTGTGCAGGTGATGAAACCATCCAACAAATTTAGCCAAGGAAGCACAGGTAAAACTGCAATGGAAGAGGCATTTTGTCCAAAACTTTATAATTATGCCCCCCTTCAAAGAAGGGAGGGCATATTGCTTAGCTGCGGTCTGTTGGTCGGTTGGTATGTCCATCCACCATCAGTTTCTGTTCATTTTCTTCGTAGAGGTTGCACATATTGAAATGAAATTTGATGTACAGATTTATCATAAAAATATCTATGTCAAGTTCTGTTTGGGTATGATGGGACTATTTTGGACAGAATTATGCACCTTGGACGAAGAAAAATTCCAATTTTGCAGTTTCCATTCATTTTCTTTGCGGAAGTTGTACATATTGAATTGAAATTTGGTGTAGAGATTTATCAATAAATATCTGGCTCAAGTTCTGTTCTAGGGATGATCAAGCCATTTTTGACAAAGTTATGTCCCTTGGACTTAGAAAAATTGCAATTATTTAGGGGGAGGGCATAAGTGTTTTAAAAACATCTCATATTTTTTTTTACAATGCATATTCCTAGCATGCTTGGACTTTGACATGTAATCTAAGCCTAATTCATTTTTTTTAAATTGTAAGGTGCACTTTACAAGGCTCCAAAACCAGATGAACTGAAGTTTAGAACTAAATCTGATGGTTTTGTAAGTTTATTTCTTATCAGTCAGTTTTCTGTCAGTTCCATTGAGTTCAAGACAATGAGGTTTGACTGTTTATAAAATATGTAAATAATAAAATTGCTGTTTTTTTCAGGTCCACATCCATCCTTCTTCTGTGAACTTTCAAGTGAACCATTATGAGAGTCCCTATCTTGTTTACCATGAAAAAGTGAAGACCACAAAGGTAAACAATAATAACCTTGATATAGGGAATATCTTGTACTGATATATACAGGAAGTTTTTTTCTTCAGTCTATTTTACCCCCAGAAGTACTTTGGACCTGAGGGTGAATTTTGAGCAGGGTAAATTCAAAGATGAAAAACTTATCTCTTTAATTTAATACATTCGTGTCTTGGCGAAGTTAAAATGGGAGTAACATGTTTGAAAGTTGGACAGAAAGAACAGAGTAAAAATAACACTGTATACAGTATAGCCTTTGATATTGATATTTTTGGCTCATTGATCAGGTATACATCCGAGACTGTACCATGGTCAGTATGTACCCCCTGCTGCTGTTTGGGGGAGGAAGCATCTCGGTGGATTTGGAGAAAGGAAACTTTGTCCTTTCTATAGATGATGGCTGGATAAGATTTCTCGCAGATTCTCCAAAGGTAAAATTAGAAGCATTCTGTCACAGCCTGTTACCATCTACGTTTCTCCTTACTTCCAAAAATTTCTTAATTAATACAAATCATTGGTGAAATTTCTATTTATCGGAGCTTTTAAACATTATATATTTATGTGGGTTTCTTTTGTATGTAAATAAATGTATGCAATCTATTTGTCTACAGAATTGGGGTATTTTTGTCTGTTATGTTGTATAAATGCATGGGTCTCCAGGAGGTTTGCTGGGTTATATAGTGTCAAAGCACTCTCTAGTTACGGCTATTAGCCTCATCCATATCAAAATAATATTTGGCTCCAAAATGTGTGGTTTATAAGTTTTGCTTTGTGTAAACATTTTCTGCCAATCCTTACAGGTGGCTGAGTTGGTGCGAGAGTTAAGACTAGAACTGGATCAACTCCTAACTGATAAAATACAGAACCCACATATGGACTTGTGTAACTGTCCCAAGGGAAGCAAAATCATCGACACCATAGTGAAACTTATAAGTACCCAGTAGTGCTCTACAGAAGTTCATCTAATGCTGAAGCATTGTTTATAACTGTAGATACAGGAAGGCATGACAATAATTCACATCATTTATACACACATGTACTGTACATGCAATTTATTAGGTAATGGTGCTATGAGTACAACGTACCTCTTTCAGAAGACAGTATTTCAGATGTGAACATAGTCTAGCTACAGAACTGTAGCATTATGGTTTTATATTTCAGTCTTTGACCATAATGCTACAGATCCAGTAATGCAAAAAAGGTTCAATCAAAGGCGCAAGATTTTCTGCATAGCATAGTATATATATAATGGGATAATTTCTCAACTTTCCAACAAGCTACCTTAAAGCCCTTAATTCTAGACCGTTCTTTAACCAATGCTTATATTTTATCTGCCTTCCAATCTTTCACACTTCTCTCTAGCGACCAAAAAATTCTCGTTTTGAAACATTCTGTCGCATGGCAGAAAATTCAGAACAAGTGAGTTACTGGTCTGTGGGACGACTATAAATTTTTTTGGTTTGGAGATGGATAAAATACATACATTTTAGTTGTTTAAAATTTCTGTCTGGAATATGGGGGTATAAGACGTTGATCGACCAATGATGGAAACTGGCAAAATTATCCCCAACAGTATGCAGAAAATCTTGTGCCACAAATTGCACAATTTTTGCATTAAGGGATATGTAGCATTATGGTTAAAGACTACTACATAAAATCTAGGGATGTCAAAATATTTATTTCCCTTAGTCGAACATTCGATTGCATTATTCGATCGATAGCGTATTTATAAATCAAAAACCCCTTTCGTAGATTTACATAAAAAGTAACAAGAAATGCCTAGTATACAGTGTATTATTTATACACCGATATTCAAATGAAATACTAGTTTTATCAGCAATTAATTCTCCAAAATGTATAAATTCTCGTAAATCACATTCAAAAGTTGGTCTGTACATTCTTTCATTCTAGTATGCTTAGAGAATTGTCAGCACAGTGTTTTTAAAGCTTATTAAACTGTTAAAAATAAATTGGAAAAGGGGAGGGGCTACCACACACTATCCACATGTCATGTGATATTGTTAAATACTGTTTGTTTGATAATTGATTAGCCCGGCTAATAAGTTGTCCTTAATATGAAAGATTACGATTTGACAAGATTTAATATGTTTTGATAATTATAGAAGTTTCAAAACTTGAAGGAATGGTGTGTACCTATAGCATTCTTATAGGTAATAAATAGGTTTATAGTTGGTATAAGTCCATTTAATAATTTTCAAAGTCCTGTATAGCGCTGCATAAATTGATTTACTAAAATAATAACAAGAGGCCCAGGGGCCACAGCGCTCACCTGTGCACATCTGGCTTGAATTTACCCCCCCCCCCCCCCCCCCAGGCGTTCATTATTTGAACAAACTAGAATCTACACTACCTGAGGATGATTCCATATAAATATCACTAATCATAGCTTTGAAGTACTTGAAAAGAACATTTTAAAAGGTTTCCCTATATATCCCTATATAAAACTTGGGTCGGCCATTTTGGCCCCACCCTTGCCCGGGGGGGCATGATTTGAACAAACTTGAATCTACACTACCTGAGGATGATTCCACATGAGTTTCATCTTTCCTGGCCCAGTGGTTCTGGAGAAGAAGATTTTTAAAGATTTTTCCTATATATTCCTATGTAAAACTTGGGTCAGCCTTTTTGGCCCCACCCTTGCCCCGGGGGTCATGATTTGAACAAACTTGAATCTACACTACCTGAGGATGATTCCACATGAGTTTCATCTTTCCTGGCCCAGTGGTTCTGGAGAAGAAGATTTTTAAAGATTTTTCTTATATATTCCTATGTAAAACTTGGGTCGGCCATTTTGGCCCCACCCTTGCCCCGGGGGGCATGATTTGAACAAACTTGAATCTACACTACCTGAGGATGATTCCACATGAGTTTCATCTTTCCTGGCCCAGTGGTTCTGGAGAAGAAGATTTTTAAAGATTTTTCCTATATATTCCTATGTAAAACTTGGGTCGGCCATTTTGGCCCCACCCTTGCCCCGGGGGGGCATGATTTGAACAAACTTGAATTTGCACTACCTGAGGCTGATTCCACATGAGTTTCATCTTTCCTGGCCCAGCGGTTCTGGAGAAGAAGATTTTTAAAGATTTTTCCTATATATTCCTATGTAAAACTTGGGTCAGCCTTTTTGGCCCCACCCTTGCCCCGGGGGTCATGATTTGAACAAACTTGAATCTACACTACCTGAGGCTGATTCCACATGAGTTTCATCTTTCCTGGCCCAGTGGTTCTGGAGAAGAAGATTTTTAAAGATTTTTCCTATATATTCCTATGTAAAACTTGGGTCGGCCATTTTGGCCCCACCCTTGCCCCGGGGGGCATGATTTGAACAAACTTGAATCTACACTACCTGAGGATGATTCCACATGAGTTTCATCTTTCCTGGCCCAGTGGTTCTGGAGAAGAAGATTTTTAAAGATTTTTCCTATATATTCCTATGTAAAACTTGGGTCGGCCATTTTGGCCCCACCCTTGCCCCGGGGGGCATGATTTGAACAAACTTGAATCTACACTACCTGAGGCTGATTCCACATGAGTTTCATCTTTCCTGGCCCAGTGGTTCTGGAGAAGAAGATTTTTAAAGATTTTTCCTATACCCACCCTTGCCCCGGGGGGCATGATTTGAACAAACTTGAATCTAAACTACCTGAGGCTGATTCCACATGAGTTTCATCTTTCCTGGCCCAGTGGTTCTGGAGAAGAAGATTTTTAAAGATTTTTCCTATATATTCCTATGTAAAACTTAGGTCGGCCATTTTGGCCCCACCCTTGCCCCGGGAGGCATGATTTGAACAAACTTGAATCTACACTACCTGAGGATGCTTTCACATGAGTTTCATCTTTCCTGACCCAGCGGTTCTGGAGAAGAAGATTTTTTAAAAATGCCATTAATTTTTAACAAATTCATGATTATCTCCCCTTGGAAAAGGGCGTGGCCCTTCATTTGAACAAACTTGAATCCCCTTCACCAAAGGATACTTTGTGCCAAGTTTGGTTGAAATTGGCCCAGTGGTTCTTGAGAAGAAGATGAAAATGTGAAAAGTTTACGACGACAACAACGACAACAACGACAACGACAACGACAGACAACGGACAAATTTTGATCAGAAAAGCTCACTTGAGCCTTCGGCTCAGGTGAGCTAAAATGGTCAGAATCAATTACCGCAATATGTAATTACTGTACAGTGGTGGATTTAAGGGGGCGCACCCGGCATGCGTCCCCCTAAAATTATCAAAGCGTAAATCACATGCAGTTTTGTCTAGACAATGTAAATATGTCTACTTGTTAGACCTCTTTTTTACCCCAAAAAATCTCTAGAATCCAGGAGCTTCTGGGGACTTCGCCTTCTGGGCCTCCACCAGGGGTTTGCGCTGGACCCACTGGGGGCCTAAAGGCAGCCCCCAAACCCCCTGCCTATTTTTGGCGCCCCCTGTAACTTCAATTCCTGGATCTGCGCCTGCTGTACTTTCAATATTTACAATGTGGAAATTTATTCTTATACTGTGACTGTGTTTAAGCTCATTCTTCTGAGAGCCGCAGCAGATACTATAATGGTTTGAGGAATGACGCTTTATCAATTTTGAATTGAAAATTTCTTTATCACCTCCTTTTCCTGTATTTATTTATTATTCGAATGTCGTTTCATTATTCGATCGTCGGTCAATTCAACTGACTAGTCGACTATTCGTTGACATCTGTAATAAAATCATAATATTACAGTTCTACAGCTCAACACAGTCAACATGTATTTGAGATAAAAGTCCTGTCTCTACATGCTGCTGTTTTTATATGTACTTTTATAAGGTGCCAAATTTCTATCGTAAACACAATGTGTAAATGGAACTGTACATGAGAATATTAGAAATGCTTATGATGATGAACTTTGAATGTTATGCCAGACTTTACCTAACAGTATAAAAAGAAGTCTTTCAGATTTCATTTATTTTATTTATTTCCCATGGAATACTTTGTGCAATAAATTGTGAGGAACAAAAATTCTTTGTTTTCATTAACAATTAATAAGCATACAGGTAATACTGTAAATTATATACCCAACATTGAAGAAGAAATCGCATTTTTTAACTGAATTGTATCAATGTATTGCACATCCCTTGCAAACAATTACTGTATACAGGGAAATTTTCGTCCCCGTTTTATTTTCGCCCCTTTTACCCTTGTCACAAGTAGGCAAATTTAAAACAGGGCAAATTCAAAGAACTCAGTATAAATTCTTAAACAGAACTGGAACTGGGTGAATTTAAAACGGGGCAAATTTGTTTGTAAATGTAAAAAGGCAAAAATAACACGGGCGAAAATAACCCTGTATACAGCACATGTTTAAATGAGGTACGTATAAAGGTATCCTCAATAATACAGTATTAATATATATTAATAGTATACCAATTTTCAATGACAAACAATTGACAGTTCATCTCGAGCAGAGTCTGACCAAGTCCCCATAAAAATTCAGATCAGGGGAATAAACATACATGTCGACTACATCAGATATCAAAGTAGGCTTAATGGTTCAAAGAAAAGAAATACTAATACATGTATATCAAATCTGTTATTCATTAAATTAATAGTGATTTAATGAATAAATTATTATACTGAACCACATTAATAGTTCCAAAATAGAAATGAAAATCTATAATTTATCTTTGCTGCAAAATAGCATTTATTTTCCTATTCATTTTCAAAAATGAGACTGGGCATTCATCCATACAATACAATTTTACAAAACCATAGAATTTCATCTGCTCTTTCTTACAGATTTTGCATAAAATTAAATATTGGACATTTTTTTGGCAGGAAAAATGTACACCTTTGACATTTTAAATCTATCTTTTCATGTAATTGTAAAACTCAGTTTGTATCACATTGACAGTTGGCTCCAGAGACCGGCTCAATCTAGAGCTGTTTTTTTAGCCCCTAGTTTTAGTGCCCCTCCTCCTTTCCTGATCAATCTAGAGCTGTTTTTTTAGCCCCTAGTTTTAGTGCCCCTCCTCCTTTCCTGATCAATCTAGAGCTGTTTTTTTAGCCCCTAGTTTTAGTGCCCCTCCTCCTTTCCTGATCAATCTAGAGCTGTCTTTTTAGCCCCTAGTTTTAGTGCCCCTCCTCCTTTCCTGGCTGCACGTCTTTCCTCTATCTCTCTCTGCCTTTGTAATCTCTTTTCTTCTCTTTCTTCCTTTTTCCTCCTTGCTTCATCAATTTTGTTGGTACCTGGTTAATGATATAGTTTTAATGAAGTAGAATCAAACACATGAATCTCTAAGAAGACTAGACACAATTGAATCCTTATTCCCTACATTTACCTAGATGGCCAGGTTTTGTAAATGCTCTCTAGATGTTAAGATGTAGCCTGAAATACCTTTTATCTAGTACTTTATTATTCAAGTACATTCTGAAATTCTCGTATTGACACTTGATCAACTGACCTGAACCATGAACACACACAAAAAACCTGTTATTAAGTAATATTTTTAAGTATAGTTGAGAAAATTTCACGATTGGCATTTATTTACATTTTTTGTACACTACTAAAAATAAAAACAATATCTGAGATTAGTGCTTGTGTACCTGCTCCCCAGTCGTCACCGTCCCCCCAGCCTGAATCGCCCCATCCCGAGGTGTCCTGGGGAGGACTAGGACTCTTCTGTTTAGCTGGGCGACTCTGGACTGTGGTCTTGTTGGTGGACCCCACAGGCCCCCACTCCTCTGTCCCCCACCCTGAGTCTTCTACGTCCCACCCAGACTCCACTTTTGAAGCCTTCTGTTGACTAGCTACAACACCAGATGGCGCCGGACTGGATCTAGAACTGGATGGACTGGATTTCGGTTTTGTTTTTGCTGGTTTTTGCTGTTAAAGGAAAGGAAGATTTTATTAAATTAACAATCTCAGTTATTCAGATTTATAAGTGATTGCAAATTATACACAAATAGGTGTGTTTTCCCCAAGATTTTTCACAAACCCATAAAAGCAATATGTTTAAGATTCCAGAATTGGAGTTTTCTAATATTCAGGCTTATTACATTGATTTTATCATGAGGGACCTACTTGACTGATGGAGATTTTTTAAAATGTAAATTTATTTCTGAAGACTGCTCCCCTCTTTGGAGGTGCTGATTTATCAAAAAATAAAAAAAATTTGCAACCAATGAAGGTACATTGTATTCAAACTACTTACTTTTGGAAGTCCCATAGCTGAGGAAAAGAAGTCTTCCTGGGCAGTTTCTGATGTATTCCCCCAGTTGTATTCCCCTGCCATTGTTAGGCCGCTGTCCTCGGTACTCACAAATTCATTACCAAAGTCCCCTCCCCACTCATCCTCGGCTTTTTTAGAACCAAGCTTCATGGAACTGCCTGATGATTTTTCCTGACCAACACTCTACATATAAGAGAATAATTCTGAATAAAAAAGAATCAGAAACAATAGAATCTTAACTTGGCAGGCAATCACTTTAAACAATTCACTCGTAAACAATTCAGTGATTTTATAAGCCAAAACTACAGCTCATAAATAATCTGCTCTGAGGTACAATGCCTCGTTTAATGCTACAACAATGACTTAGCTGGCCTACTTTGTATAAACTGTTAGTGAGCTGCCTTACTGAGCTGACTTATGTGCATTCTATTTCTAATACAGTTCTTAATATGATGGCCTTTTTTAATCACTTATTTCACACACTGCTACCAGAAATATCTGCATGCTCTGTTTAACATTCAGCCTGAAGAATTCAGAATAGTCTTGTAAGTCTTCTGTGACCCTTTATCTTTCTGTACGTATTGGGCCTTGTTTGAATGCCCATTGTTACGTTTTATCTGTATTTGTTTGGCCTTATTTTTATGCCCTTGTGACTTTATTAAGCTGTATGTATTTGACCTCTTTTGTAAGCTCTATTTGACTGTTTAATACTCATCTTAATGTGTATGCCTTGTTTGTATGCCCTTAACAGTATGTGACTATCAGGATTTCTTTGGATTTGTTTGTATGCCCTCACAAACTGTGGTAGTCTGTATTTGTTTGACCTAGTGTGTATGCCCTTCCCTTTATGAGACTATCTTTATTAGTTATATGGCCTTATAGTGTATGTGACTGTATTTATTTGGCTTCATTTGTATGCCCTACACTACATGTGACAGTATTTATTTGGCTTTGTTTGTATGCCCTTCACTGTATGTGAAGGTATTTATTTGGCCTTGTTTGTATGCCCTACACTATAAGTGACTGTATTAATTTGGCCCTACCTTTGGGGCCGTATCCTCCAGACTGCCCCAGTCCTCCTCATCATTGTCCTCCCAGCCATCAGTGGCCCGAGGCTTAGTCTCACTCGACTCCTCCTCATTATCCAGAGTATCCTATCAAAAGGTGGTTCATAAATGATTCATTCATCAAAGTAAATTTAACAATTAAAAAAATCAATCTGAATTATAAAAAAGGACAATGAAGTTAATAAAAATAAAATTAGTAAATAAGAACATGGTTTTTAGTTCCTGTCTCTTACATCAATATCTCCCCATCCTTCCTCGTCCCACCCTGTCTCCTCAGGCTGACTTGGTTCTGGGGCTGATGGATTATCACTCACTGGTTTTGGAGTAGGCTTTTTTGGAAGTTCACCAACATTTTGTGCTGGTCCTGGTGATCCTAGATATAAAAAGTAAAGGTATGGTAATAAGACTGTAGTGTATGTGACCCCCCCCCCTTTTTTAATTTTTAAGTAATGTAGTTAGGGTATATGACATTCATTATTTAATCCACAATATAGTGTTTATTCATGCTGATTCAATGACTGTAATATTTTACTGTAATTGTGTGAGCTTGGAGCGGGTTGATTTTTCTATCAAATAGAGTCAATGACTGTAATATGTTTTCATGCTTTATGGTGATTTGGAGCGGGTTGATGAAGCTTGTTTATTCACACAGTTTTATTCTGAGTCAATGACTGTAATATTTTACTGTAATTGTGTGAGCTTGGAGCGGGTTGATTTTTCTATCAAATAGAGTCAATGACTGTAATATGTCTTCATGCTTTATAGTGATTTGGAGCAGGTTGATGAAGTTTGTTTATAAAAGAAGTTTTGTTTTGTTTCATATGAATGTACTGTTCGCAAAGTTGTACTTAAGTTATGTTATTGTAGTTATAAATATTTGCAATCAAGAGTAAATTGTGGTATCACAGTATGTTGATAATGTAAACATGACAGAGATAATTCGAACTGAATAAGAGTTTGGTAGGAGATTAATAAAGTGAACCATTTGTAAATTATTACTTAATATATATATATAACAAGGCTATAACTGTGTGTAAAAGTATGTGATTGTTGTTTGTTTAGTGTTACTTAATTGATATGATACCTGTAAACAGTCTAAACTTCTTTTGGCACATGTTTTGACAGTTTCGGAACTCTTCTGTATGACGTACTTCCGGTTTAGAAACTTGTTAATCTAATTGATAAATTGTTCTCCTATTGGTTGTATAGTCGATAAATTTATTGAGTATAAATGGCGCTATCTTACGAATGAATGTATTTTGAGATGAACCGAATATTGTTTTGAGTTTAATATGTTTTGTTTTAATTATTTGTTGTGAAATATATTTTGTTTTAATTGATAATACGTGAGAAAGAATGATTTTACATTTGTATAGAACGTTTGGTAACACTTGTTCACGTGAAAGGTCGTGATGTTTTACTATTGACCAATCAGATTGTTCGATATAATTGATCATTAGTTATTAATCCAATGAAATTTCATAATTAATAATTCCGTCTTTTTCCAGCATTTTCCGTCTTTTTCTGTCATTTTCTGTCCTAGAGTCATATAAAAGTTAGACGCTAAGAAATTTTAGTCACTCTGCTGCTTATCTTGATTTGGTAGGTCCGTTTTACGGAGCTTGTAGATTTTTGTTAGGATTTTATTTTAACTTTTAATTTTGTCTATCTTTTATTTTATTTAGGAATTTATTTTATTTTTCATTTATTTAGTTAGGATAGGATTTAACCGTGAAGGACATTAAATAGTAAAATACTATTGTCCGTGATCGGTAGTTTTAAGAACTCAATAGTCTATGACTGAGTAGTTCTTTTCAGTAATTATTTTTCTAGGATTTATTTTATTTTACAATTTTACTCTACATTTATTTAAGTTTTATTTTGATGCAAACTACGTAACAAAAGTTATACGTTTGCTATCTTTCTCTTTTATGATGACTTTTATGATGATTAATTCAACGAAAGTCAATTTTTATTTTGTTTATAGATTCGGTAATTTAATTTTTACAGATACGTAAATTTATCTTTAGAATTTTTCATAGAATTTTTCATTAGAGAATTTCAGAATTTAATTTTTATTTTACTTGAAACTTAATAAAGATTATCAGATTTAATAACATTTATGGCCTGTAGTATTTACAAGCTGAACCTGTTAAATACAGTTAAGCTTGCGTTAGGTTTAACAAGTCAGCGTTATAAATAACCACGGCTTGTGTCCCGTTTTAATAGAGTTTAGGAGATTAACAAGCTAACCTGTTACATACAGTAAAGCTTGTGTTAAGTTTTACAAGTCAAAGTTATAAATAACTGCGACTTGATTTCATTATTAGACATTGGGAAATAGACGATAGATTTTTGGGTGGTTTTTCAGTCTGTTTTACGCTATGATTTTTCTTAATTAATTTATTAAAACTTAATTAATTGTTGTTAATTTGGTATGAATGTGGTGTGAATGTCGTCGTTTGAAATAAATTGTTTGTTGATAATGCATTTAATAAATTTAATTGTTTAATGTTTATAATCTTATGTCTTCTTTGCGAATGGTACATTTATGAAGGAAGTTGAGTTAAATTATTTATACCATATACAGTTAGCAGAACCGCTAGCGTTACATTTTTGGCATCCACGGCGGGATACCTTTCATTTTTATAGGTATCCAGAGATACGAACCTTTTTATATTTTTGCTAGGTGTTGGTAGAAATAAAGTTGATGTGTAATTTTTTTTTTATTTTTGACTAGGCAGTGCTCAGATAAATAGAATGGGAAAGAATAAAAGAAAGGGTCAGATTGTTGTAGAAGCTGATGTGGTGTCAGATGATGTGAGTGTGAGACAGAAAAATGATAGGCAATGTGTAGACAAAATAAATTCTGAAAACAGTTTAAAAACTGGAATTGAAAATCCTTTGGGAAATAAAAGTGTTATAAACAGTAAAAATACTGTACAAGACACTATGCACATGTCATGCACAAATTCAACATCAAATTTGATGTCCAATTCATTACACATGAATCCAATAAACACAGAAAATGTGTCACAATCATTTATTACAAATGAACACAAACATACAACACCGGAAAGGTGTAATGAACAAATGTTCATCCTAGATAGGGGAGATAACCCTACACAGTTTCCGTTACCAATCCATGATTTGACAGATGATTCGTCTGTAGATGAGTTGCATGAACCAGTCCCTCCTAGGACTGGGCGTCCATATTCCTGTCCTCCAGTTACTAGATCAGACTATCCAAATACTGTAAGACAAAACCATGGTGATATCAGAAGTAAACAAATGATCAATCCAGTGTATCAGCCCCCTAAGTATCAGCTGCCTGACAACAGAGATGACTTACCTACTATTTTAAAAGACATGCAGAAATTTTTGAACACAATCCAGTCAGATGTATCCGTACCACACCAAAGCCACCGAAAGAGTCATACAGACACGGCTCAGTGTAAAACATCATCCGGACATGGCCATCTTTCTAGGAAAACACAATCAGAAAGACAACTTAAGCGAGCAAGACTGATTGATGAAAATTCCTCCTCTTCAAAAAATTCCTCTTCTTCAGATGACTCTACTGGTAACAGTTCACCAGATTCCGATGATGAAAGTGTATCTACATCTATCGTAACTCAAAAGAGACGCTCCAGAAAATTTTCACATAAATTACCTCCTTTTACTGGTCAAGATAAAGAGAAATGGGTTGTATGGAAGGGCAGATTTGAAGAGATTGCTGACAGGGGAAGTTGGACAAACAGTGAACGCCTAGATGAACTATTACCCAGAATGCAAGGTGGTGCAGGGGAATTTGTCTTTGGACAACTCACAAAAAGAACCAGATCTAATTACAAGAAACTAATCGGAGAATTAGATAATCGATACCAAGTCATTGAAACTAAGAAGTCACTCAAGGCTAAGTTCAGCAATCGTAGACAAAAACCAAATGAACCTGTAGAAATCTATGCAGCACACTTAAAGAAACTCTACGCCAAAGCATATCCAAACAGAGATGAAACCATACGCAAGGAGGATCTTCTTCGAAAGTTCTTTGATGGTCTCAATGATGAAAAGGTTCAGTTCCAGGTTGAATACATAAAAGAGCCAGATAACATAGATGATGCTGTATTCCAGGTGATCAATTTCAGCGATCTTCATAAGAGAAGCTCTTCAAAGGCTGATAAACGTCCCATTCGGGCGGTGGCTGAAAACGACACAAAGACAGGAAATAATAAGAGATTTGAAAATAAAGAAAAACAATTCAAGATACCCCCTCAAAATGATGATTCATTTTCAACAATGTCTAAATCTAAAACATCCGAAACTAATACTGTGGATCTCAAAGACGATATACTAAGAATACAGAGACAAATCCAGAATCTTGAGAAGATGCTGTCTGAGATGAGTAAATCTTCAGCCTTTCCTCCCAGACCTAAACCAGCACCAAACAATACTTGTTATAAATGTCAGAATCCAGGTCATTTTGCTCGTGACTGTCCAGTTGGAAATCATCAAAACTTCAGAGGTGCAGTGCCACAAAATCCAGGAACTTAAACTTCAGGGGATCGTAACTGCAGATTGAGAGACGATCCAGGAGAGCAGACTTTGAATGAAGACCTATCTGGAAATAAAATAAAATAAAAGTTACTGATGATGTTCAGAGAAAATTTTAAAAAATTCCCCGGAATTTATGCCAAAGGAAAATCAATGATGTCCCTGTTGCTTTTACAATTTATACTGGTGTTTCCAGAGTTTGACTTTTAATACTTAATGTTGCAGAATTTACTTTGACTTGGGATGCTTTGACAGTACAACAGAATATTATCGTTGCAAATATAACGGAGGGTTGCTTTTGTGTGTTGACGTTTTACAAGATAGATTTTGGATATTTATAATACCTACAGTTAATGCATGTACTACCTCATACCTTACGAGACCAAGTTTCTCATCAGATGCACAATACCATGAGCTCAGGTCATCTGGGATAAAGGAAGACTGCTGCAAAAATTAGAAGATTATATTTCTTTGGTGACATGAAGACAGATATAAAAATATGGATACAGAAATGCCATGAATGACAGATTGTCATGGATGATGACTGTTTTGAAGAGATCTCAGAAGTAAATTGTAATTACAAAAATTTAAAATATTAAATACATGTAATTATTATATTCAGAGATGTTATTAGCTGAATTTGTCAGATTACCTTTAACACACGAGATGTACTGTGACCGTTACATTACCTGTTCCTAATGATGATATGATGGATGTAGTACCAAGGAACCAGTACAGATCCGTGTCGAGCCGCCGCCTCCCCAAGAGTGAATTCCACCATGAAAAGCTTCCTCAAGATTTACTTATAGGTAGTGTAGT